TACTTTGGGTACAGATCAAGCAACAGTGTAGTTACTTTGGGTACAGATCAAGCAACAGTGTAGTTACTTTGGGTACAGATCAAGGCAACATTGTAGTTACTTGGGGTACAGATCAAGGCAACAGTGTAGTTACTTTGGGTGCAGATCAAAGCAACAGTGTAGTTACTTGGGGTACAGATTAAGGCAACAGTGTATTTACTTGGGGTACAGATCAAGGCAACAGTGTAGTTACTTGGGGTACATATCAAGGCAACAGTGTAGTTACTTGGGGTACAGATCAAGCAACAGTGTAGTTACTTGGGGTACAGATCAAGGCAACAGTGTAGTTACTTGGGGTACATATCAAGGCAACAGTGTAGTTACTTGGGGTACAGATCAAGCAACAGTGTAGTTACTTGGGGTACAGATCAAGGCAACAATGTATTTATTTGGGGTACAGATCAAGGCATCCATTTAGCTACTTGGGGTACAGATCAAGGCATCCATTTAGTTACTTTGGGTACAGATCAAGCAACAGTGTAGTTACTTTGGGTACAGATCAAGGCAACAGTGTAGTTACTTTGGGTACAGATCAAGCAACAGTGTAGTTACTTTGGGTACAGATCAAGGCAACATTGTAGTTACTTAGGGTACAGATCAAGCAACAGTGTAGTTACTTGGGGTACAGATCAAGCAACAGTGTAGTTACTTGGGGTACAGATCAAAGCAACAATGTATTTATTTGGGGTACAGATCAAGGCATCCATTTAGCTACTTGGGGTACAGATCAAGGCATCCATTTAGTTACTTTGGGTACAGATCAAGCAACAGTGTAGTTACTTTGGGTACAGATCAAGGCAACAGTGTAGTTACTTTGGGTACAGATCAAGCAACAGTGTAGTTACTTTGGGTACAGATCAAGCAACAGTGTAGTTACTTTGGGTACAGATCAAGGCAACATTGTAGTTACTTGGGGTACAGATCAAGCAACAGTGTAGTTACTTTGGGTACAGATCAAGCAACAGTGTAGTTACTTTGGGTACAGATCAAGGCAACAGTGTAGTTACTTTGGGTACAGATCAAGGCAACATTGTAGTTACTTTGGGTACAGATCAAGGCAACATTGTAGTTACTTGGGGTACAGATAAAGGCAACAGTGTAGTTACTTGGGGTACAGATTAAGGCAACAATGTAGTTACTTTGGGTACAGATTAAGGCATCCATTTAGCTACTTGGGGCACAGATCAAGGCAACAGTGTAGTTACTTGGGGTACAGATCAAGGCAACAGTGTATTTACTTTGGGTACAGACAGAGATAATGCATTTATCTTTGATTACATTGGGAAATGATCAACTATATTCAGCCAGATAATACAGAAACATCACACTCACTTGGCTCAGACTTCGGTATGAAGAAGTGCAGTGGGCGTGTCCGATAGTCCCTTGCAAAGGTTACAAGCTGGCTATGCAAGTCCTTCCTTTCAATGTGCCAGAGTAAGCTTTGAAGCTGTAACAAATTGTACTTGTCCACAAAGTTGATTTCCATCAGATGGATAAAGAACTCTTTAACAGTCTTTATTTCAGAAATTGTTCTCTTCCCCATTCCCATCTCACCTAGAAGGAAAGTTCTGACATCAGTTCCAAAAATCAGCATTAAATTGTTGCATACCTGTACTAATGTTTTCACCAAATCATAATAAAAAAATCATTTTTTTTAATCTCTTTTTAAAAATTCTGTGAATTTTTCATAAATGCAATTTTTTCTAAACAGAATTATTGAAATGAACTATACAAGTATCAATCTACCAACTCTAAATTTCAATGACTTAATTAGATAAAAAATACTTTATCTTTACCCTTGCAAACATCACTTTTTACTTTTTATGATCTCTAGTCAAATTTCCTACTGTAATAATCATATTTTTGTATTATATAACTTTACCAAACAAGGCAAATAATAAAATGAATCATCTGTACCTTTCATCATAAATTTCATTTCCTTTAATTCATCTTCATCAATTTCCTTTGCAAGTTTCATCAGAAACACTTTTAGTGGGAATTCCTCAGACAATGGTTGAAGTCTTTGAATGTAGGATTGTGATGCCATTGATGGTTGTTGACCAGAACTAGTGCCAGATGATCTCTCGTACCAAACTTCAGAGGGAGAGGTGACTACCGAACCAGAAATAGCCAATGAAGTTTTTTTCCCTATTTTGTCGTCTCCATGACGACTTGGATCTGGTGATCCCCCAGTTGCCACTACAGATTGAAACAAGTGAAAGCAGTGATTGTCATGTTGTACTGTTAATAACTGTTAATAGTTGATATTGTTCTGATAGTGTACCAAGTTATCTCAGTATTCATTGAAAGTTCAAAATACAAAAGAAGATAAAACTTCATACAACACAATCATGATAAAATTTTGAAATGAACAAACAATGAATTTTCACATTAGTGTGTGGGTTTATACCAATTGTATACATATCAGTTCGGTGTATTATTCTGTGAGTACATATTATCAGGGACATACAATTCTATCATACATCCCTGAAATTACTCATCAAATATTTTTACATTTGAACTCAATACTACAATACATTGTAAATCACCTATTGTAAGGTCATGACAGATAAGAAAACAATGTCACATCTCACAGGTTACATTACCATGATGTAATTTTTATCATAGATATAGAGTGGAGATGACTTCAAGTTTTACATGGATTTCTGAAATTATGATCTTAAATTCTATTCTACTTCATAGAAGTGATTTATGAAAATTTACACATATTTTTTATTGAAGCTCATATGAGGATCACCAAAATTAAAAATTGTCATTTCTTGATTCTTTAAACCTTTCGTAAAACTGAAACTAATATATGTTGAACAATTATCAGAAATTGAGTTTGAAATTGATATCAATTATTTATAACAACGTCAATAATGAAAGTATATATCCTATGGTCAATATCTAGGTCATCAACATATCATTATTAAGTTGTACTACACAGTATTTCTAATTTCAAAACAAAATTGTAAAATTATATAAAAATGTCATTGCCCTCGATGGCATACAAGAAAAAGTATCTAAAATAAAGGGAGGGGGTTAATAATGAAGGAGGCGTTTGTTTGAATATATAAGGCATATACATGTACATCTCTGACGATAAATATCAGATCAGTATGTATATAAGGTCACAAATTATACTGCAGGCAATAGTTTGTGTTGGGTTTAGTCACACAACTCACCAAAATATAAATTAAGCAAAATGTCACTATATATAATGCTGGTCGTCAAGGGTTAAACTGGCCATTGATACTTATAAATCAAAATACTCTACTGTTCATTTACATACCTAAAACAATGTAAAGTTATGCTAAAGAAAAATATGTAAATCACAAAAAGTCAGAGATCGAAGAGGTCAGCCATTTACATTAAAGATCAATAAATAGGTTATGAAATGTCAAAAAGTTAATCAATATTTGAAATTTGTTCATGTTATATTTAAATCAAAGTGAAAGGTAAAAAGGTTCAATGATGGAAAGCATGGTGCTCTATCTGAAATCAGTATATAATGAATTTGACATTTGAATTAACATCTAACCTTTAATTGACTTCCTTGATCCTATGAATATTATGTTGATATCCTGATGTGCGCTATAATACTGGGGGTAGGGGAGGGGAGGTTAGGGGGACCACTAATATGGAAAAGAAGAAACCTATAATGTTAAAAAAAAGATTTAATATGAATGAAATAGGAAAAAAATGAAACTGAAAATAAAATGGAAATTAATTGGAGTGAAATGAAAATAAAATATTTTTTTTTACAATAACAGCAAAATCATGGTAGAGATTTGACATGACTTAATCAGTTAATACAAGGACATATAATAAAGAGGGATAAGAAACTAGACCCAGTGGATTTAGCTTTTTTGATTGTTCACTGAGAGTGAGATCACCAAAGCCTCTTCTCCATCACAGTTGGTATCTGCCCTAATATACCCATGCTCATAAATCAAGTGTGGACTTTGTAGTGACCAGTCTAACCAGTGCCATTTTGTTGGCCAGTGAGGATTGAATCTCTCAAAAATAATACTAATAGATTAAAGTGACTCATCACAAAGATTATATGAGTAATTGGAAATTAACTCAGCTTTTTAATGGCATTTATTTATTGATTGTTTTCCTAATATTTTGGACTAAAAGTGGTATACAATATAAGGCGCTACTTAAGCTGTAAATAGCTCAAACACGCATGTTTTGTTTTATGGATATGAAAAGTTTACAAAAAATATTTATCAACAAACTCACCGCAATCAATTAAAAAATTATCAAGCTTTCTACTATTGCTTATTTCGATGTTCTTTTGGAGAAAATGGTTTATAAACACAAAAAGTCTATTTAATTCGAATTTCTTCATTATAACATTACAAAGAGATATTGGTAGTTTCTTATTTTCTCGTATTTTACGTTCCAGCTGGTTAATAATTACACTCATTTATTACAGGCAGAGACATATATATATACGTCCCTGGTTACAGGTAACGGGGTTTGGTATATTGACAGACGAGGCAAATGGAATAGCGTATTATAATTATCCTTCTCGCTTAGACGCTGAGGAAGTTTTAGGTACTTACTTTTAGTCCTTCATGTTTTTTCCAAACCAAAGAGTGCCTTTTATAATTTCCAATAATTAAGAATTTATTTCTACTTCCTGCTAAGTCTACCTTTTGCCCACAAGTCAAAAAAGAAAGTAAAAAAGTCTCTGTCAAACGAGCTCTTGTAACGAAAGTGTGAATAAACTTTATAATTAGCTCGTGATCATGACTCTCATTGTCATTAATGTATAGGCTTTACCAGCATAAGTGACGAAAGATGAAAATATAAATACTCATCAATCACGAGAGTTTAAAAATACGTTAAATAAAAATAGTAATAATAATATTTGTAATATCCGGATTTTAATACTGGTTTTTCTGTCATGTTCTTATTTTCACCGGAAGTTGCATGTGGACAAGGCGAACTTTTGTAATATAGCGACAAGAAGCATCGTCCGTGGAGTATGCGATGTTATGCTCTCAAAATGATATAGAATTTACATTATAAAGGTAAACCAAATCGTATAAACCGATATAAAACTCTAAATGATTAATTCGATGCTTGTTACACCGTCATAAGATATGTCTCTCTTGTCCGCTCTTCACTTTACAAACAACGAAAACTGAATCGTGAAAAACGATATAAAACTCGAAATAATTAATTCGATACTTGTTACACCGTCATAAGATATGTCTCTCTTGTCTCCCCCACACTTAACAGACAATGTTAAAATTATCTAAGGTAGCGATAGGGTTGTTCATTATCAAGAGTAATGTTGCTGCTTTCGCCTTTAGTTTTGTCAGCTCTGAATATACACATTTATAAGTAGTTTATCGACTTTATTGTGTGTAAATGTGCCAGATTTAAGACATATTTTGTCATCTGAGATAAGGGTGTGTGGTGTTCCATTGCACTCTCTGAAATCCACGGATGGTTGACACAACAGCAACTAGTTCTAGTGAATTGCACGTAGTATGTGTTGTATATCTTATACAGTGCAACATTCCTAAACCTACTGAAAACCAATCATCAGAGGAAACGAAGATGTAAAAGTTTCTGCAATACTTATCTGATTTTGTGTTTGAAATGATTAGAATATACTGAGACTTACTCCTGAAAACCGGCTTTACCTATTAAGATTTCTGTTTTGATCAGCAAACCATGAAATCAACAACTCTGATGAAAAATATACACTTCTGCTTTAGGTACAATATTGTCAAAGTTAGTCATACATCTTTCTTTCCGAGTGAAATCACATGCTGTGTAACCTGTATTTTTTCACTTTATCAAAATACTTTTTCTCAGGAAAATAATTGAAAAGGGTATACTTGCTATTTTCACAAAGCTAGGCAGTTTTATTTGGTATCATCTATTAGCATTCAAAAGATTTTTAAGGACAAAATATTAGGATCATATTGATAATTTACTAGTCTTTACTTTAATCTAATAGTCTCGGCTGTTGGGACTAGCAGTTCATTAACTAATCACTCAAATCATAATTTGAGGAATAAACTTCTTTATGTCAGCTACAAATTCACAAAATCTGATTAGAACAGCTTGGTATGGTATTGTTTTGAGGGAATACTTTCTGACAGAAAATTTATGCATTTCCTTGACTTATTACTAAATTTCATGGTCATGAACAATGTTTCTTTATATTGTAAAAATAAATTAGCACTAGAATATGTAATTCCATCCAATATCATTAAAAAAATCATTCAAATGTCATGTCAGATGGAAGTTGAAAAGACTGCATACCAGTATACAAAATGAAATAGGAAATTTATCTGTCAAAACAGGTATTAAATGAAATTGAATTTAATTAGAAAAAACATTTTGCTGATCAGATTGTGTAGCACTTTTGGCACAATGGTACCTTAATTATCTATGTTGTGTGTTTCAGAGTAAAGTATCCTGACGATAGTAAATAAAGTTATCTCTAATAAACCAGTATGTTGGAGAAAATTTTGACAGCTACTGTGTCAGAATACATTCAGCTACCGGTGTGGACGGTAGCTTTAGCCACTGGCTGTTTAGTATGGCTTCTTCACACTGGCAGGAAAGGACTTAACCCAAAGGTACATTTAATCATGAAGAAGTTTCGTCAAAAGGTTGATAGAGTCAAGAGATCATAGTTTAATGGAATCAGATAGCAAGTTGAAGCCAATAGATTTCTCTGGATTCAAAATTGAAGACCATTGATACTGATGTTTATGACTCCCAAAAATAGCTCTTTGTTTATAGATCATTTAGGTTTGTGATTCAGCTTCTGAAATTTTCAGAAATCATTGGTCAACTTATCCTGAATGTCCATGGACATTCTAGTCATGTTTACTGATTGCTGGTATATGTCAGAACATTGAATCAAGAGACATAACACTTATAGAATGATATATGTTTGAATCCTAGAGGAACTCGAGTGAATAAGAATGTCCGGAACAGGAACATTGGAAGCTACACAGCAATGTTCAGTAAAGGATGCTGTATAGTACTGCATAGTTGTTTAATTTTGCCAGGCTAATATTTCGTCGTTGAATCTGTTAGAGATTCATTTTCATGGAACACCTCTTAAGCAGTGAAAAACATGGCATTTTATGGTTTTTTGTTTCCTGAGAATTTGTTAAACAGTGGAAATATTTTCTGGGTATTGAATTTCATGCTACTTTAATGACTGCAAGTAACAAAATTAAATCCCCACCAAATATTTCCAACTAAACTGGAGTCCAATTATTTATAACCAAGACTATAGCAACATTGACTTTGGCATCAGCTTCACTTGTGTTAATACTGTTTTAGAGCTTTACAGCCAAATTTCCCTCCTCATGATATATACTACATAGAAGCACTAATGCAGCAGGTAATATTTGTGTATCTCATGTTTACCTAAGGCTAAGTTGAATATTATTGATGTCAGTTATTCTGTGTGGTATTTTAGAAGGGATACAGTCTGCCACCAGAGACTGCGGATGAAAAAGTTGAGCCAAGTAAATCTGATGCAACGCAAACAAGGCAAAAGAAACTGAAGGTCTTGTTTGGAACACAGACAGGAAAATCAAAGGTAAAATAGTTGAATTAAAGGAAATGGTACAAGCATTGTTAAAACATCATCAAAAGTCATGAATTTTAATTGATTGAGGAAAAGTTTGTCCATTTCCTAGAAGAAGAGTTTGTCCATTTCCTAGAACAGTATGATATGATCGCATCGCAGAAAATAAAGTTTGTCCTCATTCAGAACACAGACGTGATTAATTTTCATGTTTGATTTTGATGTAGAGACTTATGGGAAAAAAACAAAATGGCAGAGATTTCTCACTTGATATATATGCATATATATATATATTTTTTAAATGATGGTTGTTGTTGCTATTTTTGATCAATCTTTTGCAAATGCTATGATTCATATATAAGTTGCCTTTGGTCCTTAGTTGTACATGTTTGATTGTGAGGTTTGATGTTGAGATTGGCTGTATTCATAACATCCCGCAAAAAAACTGTTTCTAAAACACAAAGTTTTATTCAAATTGGTCAAAGGTAATTTCATAATTCCATTTTGAATTTATAATGACAAGCACAGTCACATGTGTGCTGGATTCAATCCAACAGACCAAATGAAGAGTAGAAAGATACAAACGTAAATATCTAGTACATGTCTTTTGAGTTAGTTACAATGGTGAGCTCTAATATTCCAATTCTGGGATCTTTTGTATAAATAAACAGGTTGTATCATATGATGAATCATGATAAACTCTGGCAGTATTGGAGCCAATTTGAATGTCCCCTGTGCTGAATTGAACAGATTTATAGATATGTAAAATTGTAGTTTCCACAGATTGTTGTTTTGAAACATCTCTTTGAAGAATGGTAATTCTAGAGACTAAGATCAAAGTCATTAAAATGGAGAAAAAACAGGCTAAATACACAGTGAGTCCTATATAAACAAGTATTGAAGATGCTGAAAAGTTTAACATTATGAACACTTAAAGATTTTTGGTTAAAGGCTTTTGCTGGGCTTTTAGCCAAAGATGCTGAACGTAAAGGCTTCACATCCGAGATACAGGATCTGAAAGATTACGACCCCGAGGATAACTTGGCAGAAGAGGTAAGACATACATCACAACACTTTATAGACCTGAGAGATTATGACCCTGAATACTGAATCATGTCAGTTGATGATTCCTCACAGGATACCCATGTTTATCTTTTGCAAAAAATGCATCTTTTTGAGAAGTTTGGTGACTCGTAATCCACACTACCTGCACTTGCATGTACAAAAGCTACAGATATTATCAAGTTCTTAACCTTTTTTTGTTTATTTTCCGACAGATTCTATTCAAATAAAATGGAGAACAATCTTTTTTTACTAGCTTTCTTAGTCAGTTATTTTATTTTCAGGCAGAGGACTGTTATCTTGTTGTGATTATCTCCACTTACACTGATGGTCAGCCACCAGAGGGCAGTGCTTGGTTCCTTAAATGGCTGGAAGATACTTCTTCTGATTTCCGTGTACAGAAAACATTACTGAAGGAACTCAGTTATGCTGTTTTTGGATTAGGAAACTCACTTTACAAGGATAACTTCTGTGTGGTAAGTTGTACAATAGTATGTTAATGCTGTTGATCATTGATGATGATGTAAATGTTTAGTGTTAGAAATTTTATTCTTTATCATTTTAACCTATATGTAGTACAGTGAGATTGAATGAGTTAATGACAATATATTTAATCAGACTTGGAAACTGAGGACTTTTCAATCTGCATTGTATTTAGATATTGAAAAATAATACAATGTACTTGAAACATTTCGAAAAAAGTAAACAATGCGTATTTGTCAAAGAAATTTATAAACAGTACCTTTATTTTGTTGTGATTATTATATGAAGTAGCACTTAATACGTTTGGAAACACTGTGAAAGACTTCGCTTAAAGGAACCATAAAACAGAAAGCCATATTATAGCCTGGTGCTATTGATAAGAATAATGATGAATATAGATAAACAATCCCACCCTTAAAGACTAAACCCTTCAGACTGACTCTTGTTCCTAAGTAAGATGTTAAGGAGTTTCCTTCATGTAACATGTTACGGTGATACGCAATGAACGTGAAGATTTAAGAAAATGAAATTGAAGATTAAAAACATGATCTATATATATACAATGCATTTTATAACAATTGTGAAACAAGGTTATTGCTTACATGAATCACTGGTGCTATCCAGGATGGAAGCACTTTAGAGGTGTTACTGTAGGAGGATATGGACTTGCTAGGGGAAAATTCCTGGTCTAGCAGGTGGCCTAAATGCCTTTATCACTATGGAAACTAGGAAACGGTCTTTAAGGCCCTGATTCATTTCAACATGAGTTTCAATTTAACACCTATCGCGTGGAAATAAATTTAGGGTCATTTTTACCACACATTTGGTTCCACAGGCTTTGAAGAAAATGATCATTTCAACATCAAACAATAAGTCATGTCGGCTCTATGTCTATGGTTGACATTGTTACATCACAATGTAATCTGTGAGAGAGTGACATCATTTTATTATCTAAACCTGATGCACAATATGTTATATATATATATATATATATATATTACATCCCAGTGGCCTTTATGTATATTCAATTCATGAAAAATAATTCACTGATTTTATATCACACAAGCTTCAAGTCTCTATATTATTTTTGTAACAAGCTATTGCACAAGCTTGATATATTCAATATAATGCTATGGACAGGAGTGTAAGATTCTGTTTATCAAAATATCTCATATTATTTGGAATATAAGAAAAACACCCAAAACAGATGTTTTTGGAATTCTTTATGTTTGATATGTTGTTCATTACTGTCGTTACTTTTCAAAAATTGATCAACAGTCAGATGTGTTTGTTTTTCTTTCTTGATCTTGTTTACCCACAGCACCAGTTACAGCATTTATTTTGTGTTTTTGTTACCACAGGTAGGGAAGAAAGTTGACAGCTTACTACACCAGTTGTCTGGGAACAGAATTGTGAATGTTGGTGTCGGAGACGAGAATGTCGCTGATAGTAAACATGGAGGTAGGATATTAATATAGTTAAATGTACAGACCATTCACAAATCCCTTCATTTTTTTAAAAGGATATCAGTAATGAAATGTAACATACTTTCTTGAAATTAAACTTTATAAGAGGAAGCCATTAATGTTTAATTTTCAGGAATAGAAGCCGATTTTGATGCGTGGCGAGCTGAATTCTGGAGAAAGATGAAGTCACTGAAAAACTTACCATTTAATAAGAAAAATGTTCAACAGAAGCAAACTGAGAAATGTTCAGATGGAGACAGTAAATGTGGTGGAAAGTGCAAGCGGAAGAACTCTGGGGAGGCCTGTAGCAGTGAAGAGGTCAGTGATAGAGTTTACAATGGTGTTGTATGTTTTAATGTCTTTATAGTTATGAAAATACTGTGGTAGTTTTAAAAAGTTTTGAAACATCTATTTAGATTAAGTCAGCCATTAGTGACCACTTAGCTTCATTGATTTGGGTGACTATATTTAGAGTTCAAACACAACAAGAAAATACCAACTTGTCAACATAATCATAATCCAAACTTAAATTTGTTGAAACTAAAGGCAAAACCAGAACAAACAAACTAAAAAAAGAAGACTTATTTTTTTCACTCATTTGGGAAAGGCCTTTTATCTGGATTTTTACAAGAAATTGTTGAATGAGGAAGGAAACTCTATTGAAAACTATGTATATTTGGAATTTGGCCATATTAAGAAACACATCCCATTGGGAATAGGGGCCACATCCAACCCTATAGAGCCCGAAGAGTAAGTCAAGCTTCTACGGGTTGACACCTGTAGAGAATAATGAGGTTTTGTGGTCAATTTCCAGTAGGGTCTGTGCATTTGTTTCTTCCTGTCACAGTGTTTTAGACATTGTTATTTTAGGAGTTGTATGAGACAACGTCTGAGGAAGAAGATGAAGATGACGAGGAGGAGGGAAATGAAGATGGCAGTGACATGTCACTACAAAAGAGCAATGGTGTTGTGGATGTGGAGGACTTGGGAAAAGTCATGAAAAATATGAAAAAAGCAAAGGTATTCCAAATGACTGGTCAATGTTCAAGGTTCTTTACAAAGACACAATTCACTACTACCTTAACCACTTAAGTCTACAGAAGGACCAATGATTTTTAAGACACAGATATTGGAGTCCTGAACGCCTACTTTTCTTGTGGGACCCTCTCAAATTTTAAAACCTCTCTTTTATTTTTGAGTATTGGGACTCTTCAAAACTTTGAAATTAAGTGCCCAACCCCCTCCCCCCCTCTCTGTCTTTATACAGTAAAACTTTGAAATTAAGTGCCCAACCTCCCCCCCCCTCCCCCCTCTCTGTCTTTATACAGTAAAACTTTGAAATTAAGCCCCATATCTTTATACAGTAAAACTTTGAAATTAAGCCCCCCCCCCCCACCCCCTGCCCCCGTCTTTATACAGTAAAAACCTTGAAATTAACCTTCCCTGTCGTTATACAGTAAAACCTTGAAATTAAGCTCCCCCTGTCTTTATACAGTAAAACCTTGAAATTAACCTTCCCTGTCGTTATACAGTAAAAACCTTGAAATTAACCTTCCCTGTCGTTATACAGTAAAACCTTGAAATTAATCTTCCCCTGTCTTTATACAGTAAAATCGTGAAATTCTTCCTGTTACTCCGTCATGATGCTTTATCATTTATGAAATATTGTTTTATCAAAAGAGATGATCCTTACGAATATTCAGGTAACGTTTTATGTGGTCACTATAATGAAGATAACCTTTATTTTCTATCCCTTACAACTAATTAAGATACTTATTATGGTATTTTATCTAGGTGCGAAGGAAAAGAGAAGACCTTGCCAAAGGAAGTGGTGAACCTAAAGAGATGGTCACTCCAGCGCTCAGAAAAGCATTGGAAAAACAAGGGTACCGATTGATTGGCAGTCATTCGGGTGTGAAACTGTGTCGCTGGACCAAGGTAACAATATATTATCTCTTATCACTAGCTCTGACTTTACAAAAAAAAAATTAACAAAAAAATGTAGAACCAGTGCCAGTTCAGAGTGAGTTGGTTGATAAGTGGGGCTCAGGGCGTTGGATGTAGATACAGAAAGTATGCAGGGTTTTGAAATAAAATTTAAAAATTAATCCAAATGAGTTCAATCACAACACACACCAAGCGTCACCGATGAATGGGATATCTATTAGCCCACAAGTTTCACCTCTGATGTAAAGCTTCATCAGGTAACCAATACATATGATGCTACCTCTGAAGGTCTAAAATTGGGGTTCATTTTCTATTTTGACATTGTAGATAAGTAGTTAACTTAAACAACTGCCAAGGGCAGATAAGCCATGGCCAACAGATATTACATTACCTGACTGCTGTAGTATATCAGGCATATTAAAAGTTCATTGTTTGTTAGATAAAAAAAAATCCCTATATTGTTTAGTTAATGATATTACATTTGCCCAGGATAAACTACTGTTTACATGTTGCTCCAACTTCTGTTTGAAGCTCTGTAAAGATTCGGTTAAATAGTGTGTTATACGCAAATCTCACTAAGATGTTAATTACAGGTGTGTTTTCTATCCGAGTGTATGGAATAAAGGTCACAAGGTCGTAAATGAGGCTACAAACTTTGCATTTGAATAGGTGGTTGGTATCCTGTTTTCTCTGGGTTAAATACAAATTGAAATATTACTCTTGGTATTGAATTATCTTGTTCCAGTCAATGTTACGGGGAAGAGGGGGATGTTACAAACACACCTTCTACGGTATTGAGAGTCATCGATGCATGGAAACCACACCCAGTCTGGCCTGTGCAAATAAATGTGTCTTCTGTTGGAGGTAAGTCAATCAGTTATTGATCTGTTATGGAAGCGATTAACCAGAATGTTTTTTTATCATTAGTCTACTTTCTTCAAGGGTCACATTCCTATTTACAGGAAAACTGGTTATATCAAGAGATTAATAGTAACATTTAAAATATAAATCTGAATGGACCTGTAGGCCTTGAGGCTTGTCCTTATTTCAAACAGAAACAGCCCTGGTCCAACTGATCAAGTTGATAAATGAAAACAGTCCTTGATATATGTAATGAAAGGCTATGAGCAGTTGTGTTTTCACATATTCTGTAGCATCTCCTGAAGTGGGTCTCTATGTGCTGTTCATTCACACCAACTAGAGTAATTAATAATATTTAATGTGAGTTATTCAATGATTATTTCAAATTGAATGAAGTTAATAAAACAATGAAAATAAATACCATTTAAATCAACAACCTTAACAGCATCAGTTGAGTTTCCTCAACAGTAAGTGATGGGTTTGATAATGAATCCTATTTGGTACACAGGCATCACACAAACCCTGTGGGAACAGAGTGGAGATGGAAGATGGACAGTGCTGAAACTGTGATAGAGGGAGCAATCCAAAACCACAGAAATCTCATTAAACAGTTCAAAGGTAAATGAGAATGAAAAACAATTGATGATAATTTCAGTTTGTAGTCTAAAAAATTATGACAGTTTCTGTTTGTAGTCTAAAAGCTGATGACAGATTCTATACATGTACAATGAATACCCACATTTTGTTCAATGATATAAAATAATGGATAAAAAAAGATAGCGGAAGAATATTGCTGGAATGACATGTGAAAGTTGTGTTGTTTTGTGGTCAGGTGTGCCGGGTGTCCTACCGGAGAGGTTACAGGAAGGCCACGACATCAAACACTGTGCTCTTTCCCTTGTCGGGGAGCCCATTATGTATCCAGAAATCAATAAATTTGTGGACATGTTACACGAAAAAGGCATCTCTTCCTTCCTTGTCACTAATGCACAGTTCCCTGATGCCATCAAGTAAGTTCCTCTCTCAATATATATATACTTTCATTATTGTATATATCCTGCAGTAAGCCGAGGGGACCAACACTCTTTCTGGTTCTAAGTCAAGGGATTGGCATATTGCTTCTCAACAAAACCATTGTAATTCTACTGTACTCCAATAGACATAGGCTGACTTAGTAGCAGGAATGGCCTTAATGCCCAATATAAGCTAGAATTCCCCCAGGACTTTTTTGAAACACCATTTTATTTCTTTATTTTTTTTTTTTTTTTGAATTCTGTTTTTTACCAGAGCCCATTTCTACACTGAAACTCAATAATCTCAATTTACACATAAAACCTCACATTGAAAAAGGACATATTTGTTTTTTTATTCAATAAATTATATTATTTAAAAAACACTGATGTACACTTATATATTTCATGTACATATATCAGTGTATGGAATGCTAAATAACAGCCATCATTTAGACAAAGTGAAACGCAAGTTATTGTAACTGTTGTGAAATAATGACTTAAAATTATTTACAAACATATGAAATAATAATTTCTCATACATGTTGTAGTTTGATTTAAAAGGAATAAGTAAGATTTAATTATGACTTTGGTAATTCAAACTTTATATATTAAAAAAGTATGTGCATCTGTTGTAAGGCTTGAGGTGTCTGTTACAGGAACATGTCTCCAGTCACCCAGCTGTATGTTAGTGTCGACGCCAGCACCAAAGAAAGTCTCAAGAAGATTGATAGGCCGCTATTTAGGGACTTCTGGGATAGGTTTCTGGAAAGCTTGGTTGCCCTTGGTGAGAAACGACAAAGAACTGTCTACAGACTAACACTTGTTAAGGCATGGAATACAGAGGAAATTGAAAACTATGCCAAGCTTGTTTCCAAGGGCAAACCTGATTTCATAGAGGTCAAGGTCAGTACAAGTAGATCAAGAAGACCAACAAATTCTACATAAATAAAGATCAAGATATGTCTTTTAAGTGACGTTTTGTCCTTACTTATTGAATATTCACAACTCTGTTGGTCTGCTAATTGCCTAGTTTCTAGCATGTTGATGATAATCATACCGTTAAGGACGGCAGAATATCCTTAACGAGATAGAACCATTTACCTTTGTTACTATATGTGACCTTGACAATATATATCACATTCTGCATCACCAACTATTACGAGATAGAACCATTTACCTTTGTTACTGTATGTGACCTTGACAAGAATATATATCACATTCTGCATCACCAACTATTACGAGATAGAACCATTTACCTTTGTTACTATATGTGACCTTGACAAGAATATATATCACATTCTGCATCACCAACTATTACGAGATAGAACCATTTACCTTTGTTACTATATGTGAACTTGACAAGAATATATATCACATTCTGCATCACCAACTATTACGAGATAGAACCATTTACCTTTGTTACTATATGTGACCTTGACAATATATATCACATTCTGCATCACCAACTATTACGAGATAGAACCATTTACCTTTGTTACTGTATGTGACCTTGACAAGAATATATATCACATTCTGCATCACCAACTATTACGAGATAGAACCATTTACCTTTGTTACTATATGTGACCTTGACAAGAATATATATCACATTCTGCATCACCAACTATTACGAGATAGAACCATTTACCTTTGTTACTATATGTGAACTTGACAAGAATATATATCACATTCTGCATCACCAACTATTATCAAATTTTGTATGTTAGAACCTGTTAAAGTAATGCCATATCCAAAATAATGTTATTCACACATTATTCTTCTGATGAATTTCTTATTGACTATTTCTCCAGGGTGTGACTTACTGCGGAGAGTCGAAGGCCTCCACACTGACAATGGAGAATGTACCCTGGCATGAGGAGGTTATCAGGTTTGTCAAGCTTCTTGAAGAAGAACTTGACGATTACGAGATTGCTTCAGAACATGAACATTCGAATTGTCTGCTTATGGCTCATAAAAAGGTAATTAACAATATTTGTGTATGTCCAGGATGATAAATAATTAATAAACGTAAGTATTTTAAAGATATATGTGTATCATAATTTTGATAATTAATAAGCGTTTATGTAAAAATTGATCATTTCAGCTATTTACTTCTTCTTGCAGAGATTGGGAATCTCAAGATTTCGTCATGTTTTTGCAATTTCTTTCTTATTCTGTGAAATTTTCTTGAAATGTTTTGTTGATTTCTATTAACACTTCCAATGGGTGCCATATTAAATCTCCTAGTTTGATTATTTTTATGAATGAAAAACCAGTAGTTCCTATGTTGATGCAAAAACAAGAAGGGCTTAAATAGACTGTCCATCTAACTGCAGGATCCATTGTTAGGTCATCTGACCCGAAGGGTCCGATGACCTATAGTCATCATGCTTCGTCCGTCGTCGTCCGCCGTGCGCCGTCCGTAAACTTTTCATTCAAACGACTTCTTCTCAATAATTGGAAGGCCCAGGCAACTAATATTTGGCCTGTAGCTTGCTTTGATGAAGCCCTACCAAGTTTGTTAAAAAGAATGACCTTGACCTTCATTCAAGGTCACAGGGGTCAAATGTCTTAAAATCTTCAAACAACTTCTTCTCAATAACTGGAGGGCCCAGGCAACTAATATGTAGCCTGTAGCTTGCTTTGATGAAACCCTACCAAGTTTGTTCAAATGAATGACCTTGACCTTCATTCAAGGTCACAGGGGTCAAATGTCTTTAAATCTTCAAAGGACTTCTTCTCAGTAATCAAAAGGCCCAGGCAACTAAAATAAGGCCTGTAGCATGCTGGGATGAAGGACTACCAAGTTTGTTCAAATGAATGACCTTGACCCACTTTAAAGGTCACAGGGGTCAAATATGTCAAAATCTTTAAATAACTTCTCAAATACTAGAAGGCCTAGGGGGCTAATACTTGGCCCATAGCATGCTGGCATGGAGCCCTACAAAGTTTGTTCAAATGAATGACCTTGGCCCACTTTCAAGGTCACAGGGGTCAAATATGTTAAAATATACAAAGGACTTCATCTCAATAAGCAAAAGTCTATGAGTGCCGATATTGGGTCTGTAGCATGCTGGGAGGAAAGGCTACCAAGTTTATTTAAATGAATGACCTTGAACAACTTTCAAGGTCGCAGGGGTCAAATATGGCAAAATCTTTAAATAACTTCTTCTCAAATACTAGAAGGCCTAGGGGGCTAATACTTGGCCCATAGCATGCTGGCATGGAGCCCTACAAAGTTTGTTCAAATGAATGACCTTGGCCCACTTTCAAGGTCACAGGGGTCAAATATGTTAAAATATACAAAGGACTTCATCTCAATAAGCAAAAGTCTATGAGTGCCGATATTGGGTCTGTAGCATGCTTGGAGGAAAGGCTACCAAGTTTATTCAAATGAATGACCTCAACCCACTTTCAAGGTCACAGGGGTCAAATATGTTAAAATATACAAACGACTTCTTCTCAACAAGCAAAAGTCCATGAGTGCTGATATTGGGCCTGTAAGATGCTTGGAGGAGAGGCTACCAAGTTTGTTCAAATGAATGACCTCAACCCACTTTCTAGGTTTGGCTTGCTTTTTGTCAGATGACCGTTAAGGCCCATGGGCCTCTTGTTAATTTAACTTTTAAAATGAGGGAAATCATTTCTTAATTTTTCTGTAAATATGCATGTTTTAGCAGTAATTTTATTTAAGCGTTTTTTCCACTAGAAGTATTGAATAAAATTATGATTGTACTAATAACAGTTTCTTTACTCTGATTACATAGTAATTATTGTTGATATGCAAATTTGTTGTTGCACAAATTGACCAAAAAATCAATAAAGTACATTTGCAGTACATGTTTTTTTTTTGTTGTAAATCCATGGAAATATTAATCATTGTCAGTAACGTGGAATTTCTGTTACAGTTTAAAGTGAAAGGAGAATGGTGGACATGGATAGATTATGAGAAGTTCCACAAACTTGTACAGGCCTTTATGTCAAGTGATGGACAAGAGACTTTTAGTGCTGAGGACTACATGGCTAAGACCCCAGCATGGGCGGTATTTGGGGCCAAGGAACAGGGATTCGATCCTACAGAAACTAGATTTCATAGGAAGAAGAAAAAAGATATTGGAGGATGTTGAACATTTTTCAACTGTGAAAATAGAAATTATTTCTGTAATTCCACATTGATGGTACATTTCAGTATCTTTCTGGATGTCGAAAGTTTTATACCACTTCACCGCTGTGATTTGTGAACATAATATTTGTTTCACTCGACGTGATTCGCTAATGTTACATTATTGAAAGAACAATGACTGTGGTATGGTAACAATGCAGGTTTTGATTCAGCAGCTGACTGTTTTATACATAAACTGTATGAAATGAATATATCATGCTATATTTATGATGTGTTTTTTACATTGTCAATACTGATCAACATTTTTTTGTTGTTACCCAGTCAGGGAAACTTGTACATGAGGTACTATTCATGTTTCATGTGTTAGTCCTATGAAATAAAGACTTTGAGCTTTCTAGTAGAAAGAAAGATATTTTCTAAAGGAAAAATATCATCATTCATGTTCTCTTCTATAAGATTTTTGATGGAGAAACTTCAGTGAGAGAAAATTTGTATGTTTCAAGTTAATAACATGAAGCTCTCACTGCAGTAAAGATCTGTTTCAGAAATAAAAAAACACTGATTTAAGTATTATTTTTTCTTTTGTTATTTAGCTTTCATGTGTAGGGTGTTCATTTATTTTTTATTTCTTCATGTTTCCAGTTTTAGTTCATCAGTCTTGAGTGACCTGGATGCATTTGCCTTTTGTGTGCCTTCATTGGTCGATAAAAAATTGACATTTTTTACTTCTCAAAAACACCCTAAACCAAATTTATTGAGACATATAATGGCCGAATGTGAAATGAAATTTTGAATAATTGATGATAATAGCAAAGAAAAGGACAGAAAAGACAAATTACTTCCTACCTCTCATTGCCGCCGCTTTCTCTCTCGTCTTACTGTAAAGTGTCCAAGTCTACTGTCCGTACAAAGTTCTGAACCGCCAAACCGAGGTAACCAATCATAACATATTTACCATGACTTCACATTACTTATTTATTTACCAAAAAAAAAAAAAAAACTTGGTCGTAGAATGTAATGAGATTTATCTCTCTAACACAATGAAAATCACTCCAACTTAAATTGGTAAAAATTATAAACATGAGATGGGAGCTAACGTTATGCACATTTTACATATACATTACATTTACCATGTTATTGAAGTTATCTCCCTATCTTTACAAAATGATTTTTATGATAAAACACTACAATATTCCTGTTATAGTATCAGGTCTGTTGACATAGCACTTTGATATTTTTTGCTTTATGTGAATGAAGATACAAAATCATTGATTTAATATTCGTATCTAATTAAGAAAAAAAAGTATTTTAAACACTTTTAAGCACTATAAAAAATAAAGTAGACTGGTGCATAGTGCCTACATTAGTTTATAACCATTAGTGATTGTTCGGTCACCTAACACATAGCAAACATCTACAGTATTCGACCCAATAAGCGCCCATGTCCCTATAAGCGCCCCCTCAACCCTTCAGATACCTAAAAGTCTATATTCACTTACCTTTTATTCACGATCAAGAATTGTTTTAAGTCTGTTTATAAGGAGATGTACTCCAGAAAAACGTAAAAACATTTTTGTATCTAAGATGGTCCAATATGGTTTTATTGCATGTAAAAACCTAGTGATTATATAAAGACATAAACCGTACAGTAGATTTTTTAGCACTGAATGTTTTTGTAAGCGTCCTGGGCGCTTATTGGATCGAATACAGTAATATCTGTTTCCCTTTGCTGATTTGACAAAATGCTTACCATTGACTTCCCTTTAGTTGGTCAAACTTAAGATGGCAAATAAGTCTGTAATTGAAGTTCCCTGATTTGACACAATTGCCATTTGATACTTTGATTGTATAAATTTTTAATCATTGTCCTATTTTGATGGAATTTTGTTTGTAGATCTATTTTGACAAAAAAAAAAAAAAAAAACACAAATGACCACAGTTTCTTGGTGTGATGAAATGGCCCCCATTCGCTGCCCTCTAATTGGCGGAACTTTTATCATTGATCTGTAATTATCTAGATAATATCTGGTGCTGTATGTAATAGAAGTGTATCATGGTATAACCAACATACCGGTAAGTATGATCGATTTCAAGATTGGCGAAAAAACCTCCACAATCTCAGATTGGTCAAAAATTGAACTGGGGTACTGATTTTGGTGGAACTGGTATATATGTGTATATTTTTAATACTAATGGTTACATGCTAATTGCTGATGAAGTAAATAACTAGGTTTCACTAGTCTTAATTTGGTCAAAAATTCAATTGATTTAATTTGGTGTAGAGACTTGATATAAAACTCAAACAATGTCAATGAATTAGGATGGATATGTGTTTAAATTTAAATGCAGTACATTTGTATTTTGACTATTTGAGCACAAGGACTTGACTTAAATTCAAGGTTCAAGGGGGCGGGGGATGGGGATGGGGCGCGGGATGGGGGTGGGGCGCATATGGTACTTGCCCTGTTACAGTTAAATTCCGAAGGTCATGTTCATGGACTTGTTTCTTCAGATATATAAATTATTGACACCACATAATAATTAACATACTTTCTTCATTGTTGTCAAAGGACAAAACACTGAATGACGATGAGAAATGCCTTCCATTTTCAGAACAGATCAACATTCTGGACATATTTCAGATACAATCTAGCGTGACATATATATCAATTTGTGTAGAAAATATGCAAGGACAATATTGAGAAGAAAATTTCCTAGATAAAAAGATGAATTACTTTGGGTACCCCAACATAGCCTAGAAAGAGAAAAAGCATTTAATAGAAGTTTATCTTTACTCAGGAAATACAAATCTATATACACGTACATGTAATGCAAACCTGGCATATCTTGTCTTCAAGATAGATTGAAAATGATACCATTTATATTGTTTAATGGTGTCCCTTGAAATGATTTACCAAATGTTTTAGATTAAAATGCCAGTATAATGTAAGAAACATTAGGCTTGTAATGTAAACCTTTCAGTTTATTAGTTCTGTACAAATATATGATAATTTATTCACATAAACATAATTCATTTCTTGTTCATCATCATTTACACATTAGAGACCATGTGTTATTAGCATTTGATTTTTCTTTCAATCACTTTGGATTTTCCTTGGTCACCTTCTAGGCTTCAAAATTTAGGGCCCTTAGCATCACCTACGAGTCCTAGAAGGGGGAAACAGATGTATGATGAAGTTTATGTCATGGTTTGGCTCTACTGAATCTAACTCTCAATTTTTATTTAAAGGTGTTGTTTACTTGTAAGTCTTCTGTACTGTCTATAAATACCAGAACACACAAGTTTTGTCAGGTTGGCAGGGCAGTCAGTCCTTCCCCAGCCAAGACATGTCCACCCACCAACAACTAAATAATACAGATAATACTCCTCCATCACACGTGTCTTTGTATCTCTAGGGATGTTTTTACCAGGTTTACAAAGTGAAGGCTGGATATTAAGCGTTTGAAGGAGGTAAAAGTTGAGCAAATTACTGTTTATCCTTAGATCAAAGTACTCAATGAAATGTTTCTACGTGCGAAATACTGAATATACTAAATATGTTTGAATAGTAGTAAGTCTATTTTTTTTTACCGAAATCAGACAATGTATAACATCACTTGTGGCGGGAAAAGTACTTTATTCTGACGTAAAAGTTACCATTTTATCAATTAATTTGAGGTTGAATGTGGTAATTAGTGATAGAATGACAGATAGTTGTGGTTCATTGACAACTGATAAGGACGAACGCGCCATTTCTTTATCACAAGGTCCGAACGGCGGTTCATCATGAACGAAAACGTTGGTCCTTTTCACTTATTTGCACTGTAAATAACTCCTTGTATCGTGACAGAATATAACTTCTCCTGTCTTTTTTTACTGGTCTATTTATCAAAATAGTGCATGGCATACTTAACATCAGTTGTTATACATAATGTCCTGATACTTATCATTCTTTTATTTCTTAAACTCGATATGTTGTTTTCAAACGAATTGTTGCAGGGATATGGGCAGTTATCTTTTCTCAACTCAAGACATTAAAAAAAAACCCACACAAAAATTTTAAAAACATGACTATTGCCATTCTGAGAGGAGGATGAGTGTAAGAGATTAACGCCAAGGTTTCCAAAAGTCTTCTGTTTATCGACGACACTCCCCATATCAAATGAAACGATGACGTCATTAGAAACGATTCCTGAACTCGGGCAAACTTCTAATCAGTCTTAATTAAAGGAAGAAAGTGAGAAATATATTATCAAACGCTCAGCATTGCCGCAAGATTCCATATTCTTCGGCAAACAGACAAGCTTCTTGTACAATTAAGTTCATAGCCAGAACGAAGACAGAACGCTTGAACATTTCAACGCGCGCGAAGAATGATGCAGAAGTCGTATACTTCAGGAGAAGGCCACGTGTCTGAATGTTTAGTTCCCTTCAATTGAGATTTTAATTTTTCAAAAGAACTGATGTCAATTTGGACTAATCCTGTTCATTCAGCGATAAGCCTAATTTCATGTTTTGGAGCCAGGCACATTAAGGTCTGTCTCATATAATACGCTATTCAAGTCATCACATTTTATGGACCTTTAGAAAATGTCGAGGTCAAAATGTTTGGGAAAAGAAATTGTATTTTTTTTTTCGTTAACAAACGCAATATTTTAGTGAGCTAGAACTGGTTGACACAAACAATACTGTTGCCCTTACGACGTTTATGTGATTTGAGTTGCGACGAAAGAGGGAAATTTTAAAACTACGACTTTCACTCATACAATTTCATTAATGAAGTATCTATCATTTGACCAGTCAGAACGACGCATGTTCAATATTGGAAAAGCATCTCAAAGCCTCAACCTGGGCCCATTACACTGTTTCCCTTTTTTACTATCTGTCGGAGTGTAACGAAGGGCAGTAACTTCAGGTGATCAGGATGTTGTCCCCGGACTACAAAAATGATTATCATCTCAAGATCGAAAGTATTGATTTTTTCTGACTTCTTTTCAAACATTTAAAATGCAGTAAAGGCTATCATTTTTTTTTATTTCTGGACGCTTTTCGGAATGTATGGAAGCCCAGTCTAAGTAAGATCCTGTATCAATAATCAACTAATTACACTCACTAATTACTTGTTACATATTTGCAATTAATGAATACGGATGCATATAGCATACTCCATTTACATATTGTCGGTACTGATGTAATAGAAAGCATCAATCATGGGATACCAGGCTTTGTTGCATATTTTCAGTATGAAATTTTTATCCTGCAAAAACATTTTATGTTTTTTTCCTCATAAAAAGCCTGTACAGTAATGTAGATGTAAATGTACCTCCATACACAAACCAAAGAAAAAGGTGATTTTCCTAGAAACTACATACAGTATAAGCATCTTTGGTCCCTTGTTGTAATTTTAGGACAGGATGGTTGGCAGAAAATCTTTGACATTGATCTGACATTGCAACCCTATTACTCGTTTACATCAAGTAATGAATGAGTCAGTTATATGATTATTAAGGGAGAATGTTCCATGGCAAAAACACTATCTTTCTGTGACCTTTGATGACATCCAAATAAGTAAAGACGGGATGTTCAGATTCCAACGTCTCTTTTTCTCAAGGAAGTCGGGTTTCCTTAAAAGCTTAAACCTAAATGCACATGCTTCGGCAGCATGTGACACCCAGATAAATATATCGGGCGTTTCAACTTGGCTGAATAAAAAAAAAAAAAAAAAACGGATTCGAAGAAATTTGACATTTTACTTCTATGTGTCGCTCAGTTTTGATCCCTTGACTTTGAAAATGCAATATTCACAGCATTCTCTAGCTGTTATATTTAACCTATACAAAAAATAGTAGATTTTAGAGAAATAACACAATGCCTGACACAAAGAAATCCTGTTATTAAAAACACGAACTTCGTGCCTATATGTCATCATCCTTACTCTGAACCATTCCAAAAAGTTGTCCTCTTTCAGTATTTTTTTTAAATTTTCATTTTCATTTATAAAATATAGTATGCAAGTACTAACGTTGCTTTAGATGACAGAGCAAACTTGTGTTTTTATGGGATATCCAAGTATGTTCAGGGATACGGCCCTGATAGATCTATTTGATTACTTAAAGTGTCAATCGTCAAAAGGCTTATATACTGGCATGATATTTTTGGATTTACAAAAGGCCTTTGACACTGTGGACCACCAGATACTATGTGAGAAACTAAAGTCCATGGGGGTCGAGTGTACATCGTGGTTTTCTTCATATCTATCATCTAGAGACCAAGTTGTCTCAATAAAAAATGCGATGTCTTCATCTCAAAAAGTAACATGTGGGGTACCCCAGGGGAGCATTCTTGGCCCCCTTCTGTTTCTTTGTTATGTAAATGACATGGAGCTTTCAATTAGTAAAGATTCTAAATTACTTTTATACGCAGATGATAGCACGATTCTATTTTCAAGCAAAAATCCTAATGAAATCAAGGCAAAACTATCGGAGAAGTTATCTAATTGTCACACTTGGCTAGTAAATAATAAATTGTCTTTGCACCTTGGAAAAACAGAAGTAATTCTTTTTGGTACAAAGCAAAAACTAAGCAAAATAGACTCTTTTGAAGTAACTATTAATGACCAACCTATTCAAACATCAGATCGAGTGGGCTATCTCGGTATCGATATAGATAAGTGCTTAACAGGTGAACATATTGTTGATAACATAATAAAGAAAGTTAATTCTAGACTCCACTTCCTTTATAGGCAATGTAAAGATCTCCCATTGGGTATTAGGAAAACACTTTGTAATTCTCTTGTTCTGTGTCACTCTGATTATTGTTGTACAGGCTGGTACCACGGTCTGAGCCAAAAAATGAAACAACAGCTGCAAGTTGCACAAAATAGGTGTGTGCGTTTTATTTGTAACCTTAGTCCTAGAGATAGTATAAATAAAAATGTGTTATCACAGTTAAATATCTTAAACGTGGAAAATAGAGCAAAACAATTATGTCTCAATCATATGTACAATGTATTCCATGGAACATGTCCTAGTTACTTTTTGTCCAGATTTACAAAAGTTTGTGACCAACACTATTATAGTACAAGGAATTCTTGTCTGAATTTTGTTGTGCCTTCTTGTAAAGGTCAAATTTCAAAAACGTTTTATTTTAACGGAGTAAAGGCCTGGAACTCTCTTCCCGTGGAAATACGTTTGTCTAGCGGGAAACAAAGTTTTAAAAAAGCTGTTCGAGATTTTTTACAAAATACCTCATAATTGGATACATTTTCTGTGATACAATGATATTCCTGCCAAACTTTTAGTTTAAATAGTTTTAGGTTCTTTACAAAATATATATTTTATATCAATAATATTTGTGCATTTTGTATTATGTAAGGTCACTGTATTTTATGTTGTATTGTAACGTTTTTTATGGAAAGGGACCACAGCGGAAATAAGTCTTCGGACTTTACTGTGTTATCCTGGTTCAACAAAATTATTATTTTACATGTTTGTATGTATTTTAATATTGTGTTTTATCAAATAAAAAAAATCTAAAAATCTAAATCGTTACATTGGGAATATCACATAGTGGCATACGACACTCTATCAAAAAAGGAGATACAAGTTTATTTATTTGTTTTTGTTGTTGTTTTTTGTTTTTTGTTTTTGTTTTTATTTTGTTTTTTGTTTACTTTTTATTAAAATGGAACCGTGAAATTTACATTCTAAAATTGGTGATGCCTAACTGATGACCAAGTGTATTTGAAATTATCAAAGTGAATGAAACATACGTGAACACACAATGACTGAGAATTAAAATGAATTATGTAACTGATAACGTATAATCCAAGTAATTTCTTTTATAAAAAAAATAAACACACATACATTAAACTTCTTTTTTTAATTCATTTCATGCAAACTACACAAGTGATATATTTGTCTTGCTCGTATGGAGGACATCTTAGAGAACCACAAAACGCCTTGACTCCAAAAAACAATACACCATCATCATCTCTATCTGCTCCTCCGGCGACTGGCTGCGCATGCTCGTCTACACAAACGTATTCCGTAGCAGCGTAATGACCATAGTAGCCAGATGCCAGAGACCCACCATACGCCTTCGTCCAGCCACTGTAACATGTCGTCCTCGCCGGTATCATCACAGAGGAGACAAAAGAAGTAGATCTACAGACAGCACAGGGAATCTCTTCGTCTTGTGATTTTGATCCGAATAATGTATGACCGGTATGAGATTCGTACTCCGCACCGTACAGCCTCCCTGTGTAATCGTCTGGTACAACTGTTGTGTTTAACCATTCTGGATCCGGAGGTAGACAAAGTTGGTCAGCGGCTGCTCCATAGTGAGCATACCAAGAACCGCCCGCATAACCTAGAAAAAAAGCCATTCCTAAACAACAAAGGTAATACCGACTTGTATACAAAATCATAATTGAATCTGTCCAGGTGTTCCAGAAGAGTACGCGTCTTCTGCTTCATGGACGACACCCGCAGTATAAATCAATCCAAGTAAGTACTGTCATGTTCTCAAATGAGAACATGGTAAACAACAACGGAACCAAATTAGAATATTTCCCAACTAGATCACGTAAAACACCCATATACTCTTCATCAACGTGCACCTCTTAAAAGCCTGTGTTGTGAGATTGGCGGATAGTTGCCGTCGTCTTTCACGAAAATCGTGATACTTGGAACAAACCTTTGAATATCAACATGTCAACATGAAAAAACTCAAATATTTAGGGAAAAATAACGAAAACCCAAAATTTATTTTCAATTTTTATGCAATTATTTTGAAATTTGGTGTTGGAAAAGACAATACACGTATATATTAATAACCAATTTTGTGTTGAACATTTAGATCTTTTCCGCGCTGGTATTTTTTTTTGTTACATACACAAACTACATGTAATTATCATGTCACTGTTACTCTGTCATGACGGGATCACTATGTGAAATTGGTTTTACTGGGACTTATTCGAACACCAATAGTTACACATCGTTTAAAATAAATCCTACAGACTCAACTACGAGTTTATTTTGAAAGATAAATGTTAAAACTCAAGTAATATATTTAAGGATATTTTCCTTTACAATAAAGATTGAAAAAGATGATGAAATATTTAGTAATGTCTAAGTAAATATTCGATACCATACATACCAGAATACACCAGTTCGGTCACATGGGCGGGACAATCTGTTCGTCCCCAACGGACAAATGTGGACCCACCTCCACCTGTAAATAATACAAAACTAGTGCATTAATGATTACTAAGTGGTTGTAATAATTCCTGATCAGTTGAATAAATGAGATATGACGTATGAATAATATTTGCGTCTTCAATATCGTTAGAATTAAAATGAATCTTCATGTATTGAACCATTACGTTAAAAATGCAACTGGTAGTCCCGAATGTACCTTGCTAAGCTTCATAGTCATCATCTAGTCCGAAGGGTTCTGAATATCCATCTGTTATTTTTTCTTGATCTTGGTCGCGGTTGACCAGATATATTCATCATCATGGTCTGAATTTTCGAAGTTCTCCGCGTTACTGTTCTTGCTCTTATTTTTTTTTTATTTATTTATTCCCGTTTCTTTCTTCTTTTCCTGTGTATTGTTAATGTACTTTTGGGAAGAGTATATGGTCATTTTACACAAACACATTTGTATCTCTTCGTTATCTTTACATTTCCTGACATATTTCTCTGTGTAAAAAATAATTGATTAAAAGCTTTTATTAAAAAATGACCGCTTTCCAAAATATTCATAAACCGAACAAACGTTATAAATCAACCTTTGAATAACCGATATAGATCCAATGTTATCGTCTGATATTTTGTGTTGAAATGAAATTATGTTCCTAAAAATATGAACGACGATTATTTTGTTGGGGATGTTATAATGTTTTTGTTAAGTGGCTCTGGAGTCACGTTATTTCTACGTGCCTAACACTGTTTTCATAGTGTTTTATGTCTTGCTGTTATGAATGCCGCCAATGTGTATAAATTTTAAATTAATTTAAAGTTGGTGTCATTGGTCGTTTATACCGCTTCCACAATCTGAACGCACTATCTGTGTTAAATTGTTATAATATCGTTCGTCTCCGTATAAATAACACCCATTCCGCAACATCATGTGACCTTGTATTTGCGTGTTTACTTAATTCAGACTCGGTCAACATGGTGGCAGAAGCGAGATTACAATTACTTCTTCTTTAACCTTGATGTCCTGAAATCTATACAAGGCGCAAACGACGATGTTTTCGTCAGGATTATTTCGTGTGGCTTTCAATCATTTACAACCGTTACAACCTTACCACCACTTACTGCCATCAGTATGAAATGATAATTAGAATGTTTGATACTGGTATCTGAGAAAGTAATCAAACACTCCTTTTTTGTGAGGTAAGCAACTCTCTTACCTTCCAAATAATTTCGATCTGCCAGAATGATATCACACTTTCAAAAAGCCATAACCTTGTATTACAGTCATTCTCATTTTATACTATTTCGTATTTCATGGTCATATATAGTCAGTCACGTGATGATACTTCTACAATTGACAAAGAAGTCGTCAATTTGTAATAAGGATTATTTGACATATTTGTGGGTTTTGATGTATCTTGCATCGCATAATTGTCTATAATATAAAGAAGCAAAATTATTTGGATGCAAGGTTAGATTTAAGGGAATTCCGATTTTGGGTTGCTTTGCTACTACTTTGAGTTCTAAGGTATCGATATAGTATACAATATCGACAAATGTTACATTAGCTTTTCATTGTTTGCCTGTTTAAGGGAAGCTATTTCACTTGTTTGTGTCTCAACCTTTGCCTTTAGGGTCTGTATTTCTCCCTGGAGGTTGTTTATCAGTTGTTGGAGATCGCTAGGATCAGTCAAAAGAATCCTCTTCTGGAAACGTTCATCACAAGCAGCGTAGATTGACAATAGGATGACGATTACAGCCAAACTAAGTCTTACGTGGTCAAAAACCATTTTGTGTGTGTACGGTACCCTTCTGTTAATGAAATAATGGCAACAATACCTGGAGAGGTTATCAGAAAACTGACATCGTGCTTCAAGATAGGAACGTTCCTGCTGTGCACCATGCAATTCTCCCATGTGCATATTTGTCTTACTTTTAATGGCACCGTAATATATGTAGTCATGTTCATTTTCATGTACATCGGAATATGGAATTGAAGCATTACGTTACATTACATTACCGATTTATATGCATGTGTCTTGGGGAAAATATTCTATCTACGGTATCTACCGGACAATGATCGTGAGAATGTGATTGTAAATTTGTTGCGGCAATTCGTTTCTTTGTCAGAACACAACATATCGATATGCAGGAGACTGCTTGGTCCCTGTTCGGCAAAAACGGCAAACGATCGGCTTTCTAGTTATTTTTTGTTAAATTGTAAGACCTGCACCGCTGATATTGGAGATTGGTGTTCTTTAAACATACTTAAAAAACGCAATTTATTGAAATATTGGGCTAGTGCAACAACTGTATGACGCATTTTAATTCTAAATTCGCATTAAATTTTGCTATTCACTTGCGTGTCTTTTGTACAATTTTTTAGAATGCAGGTGGTAGACACAGCTGGTAGACACAGCTGGTAGACGATTAGTTCCTACAGTTTGCTGAACCTGCATGTCACGTTTTTGTTTATTTGATAGACAATAAACTAAAACAAACGGGAAAATTTACACGGAGTCTCCTGAATGTTCTGGAAGAGTAAGCGTCTTCTGCTTCATCCACAACATCAGCCATGTAAAATTTGGTCAATCCATGTAAGTTATATCACGTTCTCAAATGAGACCAAGGTATACAACAAGTTGAGACGTCCACTAAAAAGTTATCCTAGTAGATATAAATGGAATATTTACATTCTGTATTGCTTTTGCATTTCACCAAATTGTAGAATATGAGACTGTATACTGTAAATGTACACTAGATGTCTCCTAGGTAAACAAAACTAACCACCTGCACTTTCACTTTGGTATCAATATACATGTACTGACATATATGAAGTTGTTGGACGTAAGTAAGACTTTCACAAATAAAAAGTAACATTACTTACAAAGCTATAAATTAATAACAGACCAAAGTTATTGTCAAACATGTGATTTTAGCACAAAAATCATTATTGTCGTCATAATATACTTGATTACCAAGCTTGATCAACTTTGTCTGCTACAGTAGACGTCGATCTTGCAGTTCAAATTACAAATGTAGAATTTGTAATTTCCGTGGTTTTCTTCTATTCTGAAAATCGCCTCAACCTATTCCGCGACACGAGAACATAAATAGTTCCTGAAAGAAAAAAAGACATATCAATTCGTTAAAACTCTGAAAGCCGCATCATTTTTAAATGAAATATCGATTTGCAATTTTATTTCAAACGAACGAAATATACATCGAAAATAATGTAATTATCTTTAAAACAAATGTAAGAGTTTCAATTTTTATATCAATCAAGTTATTTGTGTGACTATACTATTTCAAACAATTGCTATTTATGATGACACGAGAAACTCTAACATTACGGCTGTTCTCGAATTTGGACTTTGGTGACGTCAGATGTTGGCTGAGCGGGAAATTTAAACGGCATATTAACTGGTTTTCGTTTCGTTTTGATTGTTTTATAAATATTTGAGAACGGAAATATAAATGATTAACTGTTACTCCATCTGGTAGCATTTTATTGTTTAAATGTCCGTTTAATCATCTATCGATCCTGACTTTCCTTAGAATTCCATGCTTTCAAATGAACACTTTCATTATGTTCTCAGTTTTTTTTCATATCTTTTCACTCAGTGTAATGATAAGGGCCTTGATTTTTAAAACCTAGGAGGCGACTGAGGAAAATCAATGGTAATTTCCAAACTCGAGCCAAACCAATCCAATTTGACCTTTGAACTTACCACAAACCAAGCTGTCAGCATCACAGGCGAGTTCGCCAAGAATCAACAGCACTGTAGTGCATTATTCGCCATATGAAATATCTATTTTACAAGTTCAGCCAAAGGCACCTGATATAATGCCTAAATGGTATTTTTAGATAGGGTTGCGTCCCTTCCCATACGTGTTTACAAATAATATTCATATGTTTCTCTCGACGATCTCTGGATTTTTTTTATAAAGAGATCAAGTGGTCGAGATTAGAATTATATCCTTGAAATATAAAAATACCACAAACTTTGCTTTGGTGCATGTTGTATCCATCTTTATCTTTAAAGAATGTAACGTTGTAGAAGCGAGGTTAAAACAAAAATGTATTTTATTAACAAATATTTGTAAATGAATATATATAACATGTAATACACATGCACAAGTTATAAGTTCTCTATAGGAGACAACTTCGAATCCTCGGCTACAGCAGAAAGTAGCCCTGGCACTGATTGACTTTAAAACATCTGGATCCACTGCGAGTATCAAAATGGAATACAGGCTCCAATGTTCTGTCTACAGAACTATCAAACACGACCGAGTCAATGGTTCAAACACACAGCTTCATCAATAAATCGATGACTTGCGCGAGGAGGTAATCATGTAAACTATCATTTGATGTGGTTTGGTTATCCATATCCGACAGTTTCAGTAGTCAAACTGCAATTTTGATCTGGTCCGTATTATTGCTGAAGAAACACACTCATGATTGCACACTCAAACATATTCATTACACATATCAATAACTATCAATAATGATGAATTTAAAGGGTATAAATTCCCCAAATTACTGAATATTTATTCCTTAATATGTCAGAAGCACCCCTAGCTGGTCATTAAATCCAAATATAATCAAATAATGATTACCCGAAAAACTGCTTGTCCTAGTGTTGTCTGTATTACGATTACTATAGCTACCTATGGCTTCAATATGGTAAATCTCTACTATTGACCTGGCTTCTAAGCATGTTCTGCGGCATCCTCGGCCACCCCTAAATAGCCCTTAACTATCCCGTTGTTAGGCATTTTGAATCCCGTGCATTGAATTTTTGTCCGAGATAGTCCCACATGCTTAATTGGGTTAATGTCTGATAGCATTGGGACAATATCTAATATTTCACAATGAAGTATTTGGCAGTAGGCTGGTTCTGTGTGGTTTGGGATTATCATCCATAAGGATATACCGATCTGCCCATGAAAAGATATTAAAATGCAGCAACTTTAGGTCGAAGTATATAGTATACTTCTGTCCATTTAAAGTTCCATTAAAGGCATGCAAGTGAAGCTGACAGTTTAGAGAAAGACATCTCCAAACAATAAAACTGCCACTACTTAATTATGATGTGCAAAGAATGTTATTAGAATGGTATGCCGTATTATTGGTAAAAATGTTAATTTCATCAAACCAGTGGTATCTCCGCCAACACCTAATAATCCACGTTCGGTGATCACATGCCATTTGTTGTCTTCCTTGTTTGTGCAATAACATTCAACACAGGACATTTTACCGATCAACGAGAGCGAAGTTTCCTATTGTTTAAATGTCTGTTGACGGTACGCCAGCTAACGCGACCATTGACGTTTCGCTGTACTCTGTGCCTGTTGGCTTTGGTGAATTTGGCTGCTCGTGTTATCTGTCTACATAAAAAGTCTTATTCATCTTTTTAATTTCAAGGTCTGCCAGACTTGGTACTCTCATCAATATGTCCGGTTTGTTTCAAACGCAGCAATGAACAGAATTTGTGACATTAAATGTGCAGCTACTTGCCTGTATGTCGGGCCACCTTGCACAATTACAAATTTTCATCATTTTTAGATACTGTATGAAGACGTGTATGATTTACCAGTGATAAACGTGCAAACGCTGCAAAGTAAACTTATGGTGTGTTAGAGTATGGGTACCCCAAATTAACATGGGTTATATTGTGTGCATCACTTGGTGCCATACGGTAACACAAAAGGCTGCAATTTCTACAAAAGAAGAAATAAGTTTTGATTAGAAAGTTCCTATTGAAGTTGATAGCCTTTAACTAATGGCTAAGTGTATATGACAGAATAGTTGGTTCAATTTCTGTTTATTTCTTCACCCCACATAACCAATAAGAATAAATTTCTTCACTCATGCCTTATTACATAACCCAACCAATCTACACATATGGTGTTTTTCAGTCCCGTCTATCCTAGCTCGTCTCATCCTATCACAATATGTTCTATTTCATCGTAACTTGCATAGCCTTAGCTTGTTATAAATCCCCTAAATCAGCACGCGCGTGCAAAAGTCACGTATAACTATTAAAAGTGAGAATTGTGAACAGATGTATGCAGCCTACGTGGAATGGTTGTCAGAAAGAACTGGACATAAGTTAAAGCGTCAAAATATTCAGTCGAATATTTGGAAATTATTCAAGATGAACAGTCCTGGTAACGGGACTTCAAAGGGCGAGTCGTGCGAGATCTGTCCATTCTCGCACGATGAAGGCCCCTTTGTGGTTTTCAAAGAAAAGTTGCCGTTCAATAGTAAGGCAATATAGTTAAGGTAAGATATTTCTTTTATTAGGGCATTCGATGGACGTCGAAATTATTCGAAAAAGTCAATTGACATTATGTAAGCCCCACCCCGCCCCTTGCTCCTTTCATCTAAAAAGCCAAGAATCAACTGGTAAGACGAGGCGAACACCATCTACACCATTGCCATGATAAGGCATGATTAGGCCCGGCCACTTTCTACTAAGACAACTCGAAATTTACGGTACGATATTACGGACTTCCGGACAGACGGATACAGGGTGGTGATGATGCATTGTATCGTTTTGATGCTTTGTGGCAACCCCCCCCCCCTTACGTCACCAGAACATTGATGTTTGTCTGCGAGACAACGCCTAGAAAAAGGAAGAGTTACGGTGGCGGAAAACCTTAAATCAAACATATAGACGCAGACAGTCTAAAAATCTATTAATCAATTAATACTGAAATTTAACTCTAGATTTTTATGAACGCGGCATAGCTCCAACGTTAACAAATATACAGTATACTGATTGTATGCATAAGTTCATTATATTGTATTGATCCCCTGTTTCGGTCCAAATCCTTCTCTGTTTCGGTAATTATGAAGTACCTTTTAAGTTTTTACCTTTTTTCATATAAGAATGTATGAGAAAATATGATTTAGGTGGTTTTTCTTTTGTACTATTCACTACTAGCTAAAGTACAATGTTAAATTACTGAATGAAATATTGTCAACACTAAACCTGTATCTCCGGAATCCTTGTGTTTCGAGTTTATTAGTGGTATTGTGAACAGGTCCTTGAATATCGAATCAAGTGTTCAAAAATGGAAAAAAAAAAACATGTCGGTCATTGTCACAATGACTTTGGCCACTGGAAATGAAAAGAAATATCAAGCGATATTAAATTTCAGTAAAATCGACTAACAAAACTTGAACGCAAATAGAACTCAACTAGTCAAATATATAGGATTTAAACATATCCATGTAATTAGGAATGTAACTCAAATTAGTGCTTATACATCATTAATGTCAATAGACCATGTACAACTTTCAAATAAAACATAGAAATGTAAAGTTGATTCCCTTTTCAAAAACGGAAGCATAGATATATCTTGAATTATTTATTTCAAACAAACTACACAAGATATATATTTATCTTGCTCGTACGGGGGACATCTCAGAGAACCACAAAACGCCTTGACACCAAGAAATAGCACACCGTTATCATCTCTATCTGCTCCTCCTGCAAGAGGTTGTGCGTGTTCATCTACACAGACATACTCGGTAGCAGCGGCATAACCATAGTAGCCTGATGCCAATGACCCACTGTACGCCTTCGTCCAGCCACTGTAACATGATGTCCTCGCCGGTATCATCACAGAGGAGACAAAAGAGGTAGATCTACAGACAGCACAGGGAATCTCTTCGTCGTGTGATTTTGATCCAAAGAATGCATGATCGTTATTAGAATCGTACTCCGCACCGTACAGCCTCCCTGTGTAATCGTCTGGTACAACTGTTGTGTTTAACCATTCTGGATCCGGAGGTAGACAAAGTTGGTCAGCGGCTGCTCCACTGTGAGCATACCAAGAACCGCCCGCATAACCTAGAGAAAAAAAAAGAGAAAAGTCACGGGAACAAATTGCACGGGGAAAATCATGGAAAGTGAAGGGTTATGTAAGTTTTTATAGCAAGCGTAATGAGAACTGTCGACCAGTTGCTTGGAATTTTAATAACCAAGCTTCAAAATTCAAATATATTTACAATTAAGGTCTTAAATAGTTCAAATAACAATCATATACATTAATGTTTTGAAACGAATTATAATCAATCATGATAAGAACGTGTTTGTTTTCTGATTTCCGGAATAAGGCCCGGTGTAGTATAATGGTAAAGTGAACCACCATTGTGGTGAAATCACACACACACACACACACACACACACACACACACACACACACACACACACACACACACACACACACACACACACCCTCCCCTGTCCCCCATGGTAAAGTGAAACTGCTTTATACTTTGTTGTTTGTTTTCAATCGCTGTTTCTTCACTAATTTTTTATCAGTTACTTAATTATGTTCCTAAATACTCAATAAGATTAGACAAAAGAAATAAAAAAGGTGAAGAAATATAGGGTGGGGCGGGAGGCTTCACATTACCATGGCAAAACGAAACATTTGGCTATTTTCTTGTCAATTAACTTTATTTTTTTTTGTAAATAAGGTTGATAATTTGTTTATGATATGATATTTCACACATAAGAACATGAAAGGAGCAAAGGAGCAAGCTTTTTATTGACCAAGAAACCGGAATGTCGCTGAAATATTTTACTAAAAATATCAATGACTATAACAAAGAAAGCTGAATGACTTATTATTTATCTATTTATTATTTAACGGATTTTTTAACGCTCAGAAATTTGAAATTTGTATTGTTTTCATGCGAAGTAAAACATATCATGGTACGATTTTCCATTTCCATTTGAATCCGTGTCCTACATACCAAAAGCCAAATGTGAACAGTTAAGATTAATAAAGAATAGAATTTAAGAAAGAACCCAGAGAAGTAGATCATACCGAAAGCCAAGTGTGAAGAGTTAAGATGAATAAAGAATAAGAAACGGTTACAGATAGCCTCAGAAAAGCAGTTCAGACTAGCAATTTGACGTAGTGTCTTTAAGCCAATCTAAATGAAGTCATAAACTGATCATTTGGTTAATTATAACAGAATGTGAAAGACAATTACAAAATGTGAAATCGTTAACTCAAAAGAGAATGTAAGGTGAGTAAAGAGAGATGGGTAAATATAGGTCGGTAGAAGGGAAAATAGAGAATGTGTGTAAGTCGAATAAGGCTGGGGAATTAGTACACATATCAAACAGGGAAAATGTATTCAAAGATCAAGTAAGTTTATTTAACGGATTTTACGTCCACTATTATGGCCTTTCAGCCTTTCAGCGGACGAGGAAAGATATATAACATTTCTTATAAAAATGAAAAAAAGGTGAATTCGTATAACATGAAATCATGAAAATAAAACAAAAATTATAATAATGAATAAGAAAATAGTGTAATGCTTCATTTTACCATAACCATGGTGATGTTTTCGTATTATTTTACTGCATTCTTAAATTTCATGTTCCAAATGCCTCTGCCTTTTGATACACAAAATATCTTTAAAAACTGATTCCTTACTTTGTGTGCACAGTATAGGAGCATAACTATTGGAGGTGAAACAGCTTTTGTTTTATTTTTTGAAAAAGAGAGATTTATGTGATGTAAGTGAAAACGAAATTCAGTTTTTCGTGTTCAGATGAAATTTGATTTAATGAACTATGAATTGATAGGCAAAGCAATAGACAATAATAGACAATCGAAATTAACTCTTATGTTTAGAAAGTCTTTTGAGGATGATAATTTAGAAACTTTACAACATTAACTATTTCAAACGCACAATTGATCAATTTGGCAATGGAAGAAAACAGACGACATGAATTGGACTTACAATAACATATATTTTGGCAGGTAAGCCTTGTTCGGTGTTCCCATGTGGTCTGTCCATCTGTTTTAGTCAAGATCTACTCAGATAAGTTATTTCTAGTAGATACTCTCATTAACATAAAAATTCATATCATAGATATTTAATTGGTGATTAACAACTTAACCGGTAATTAGTATCTATATATTACTGTATATTAAATGTCACCGAATCTGTCATCGTTCATAGCTAGGTTTACATGTAACTGTAACAGGTAACTAATATTGCCGATGATAATCTTCTGATACTGATGATGATGATGATTTTTTTTTCACACAACGCTTAATGAATAGAAAAGCTTATAGACATCAGGGCATCATTTAACAAAATACTGACACAGATGTACCCATATAGACGGAGAAAGGTTTAAACATCAGTCTATATAAGGTCTTTTTAACCGAACCACACGCTAGCATAAAACGTGAAATATTTTACATAAACATGAGATATATAAAAACACAATACAAGACAAATCATTCACATGTAACTATTCATTATCAACTGATAGCCTTGATCCAGCTATGTTCAACCGACACGAATATATATCCAGACCTCTTACTAACATTTATAGTACAGTCGATAAGTGTAATTAATGAAAATTTAATTTTAAGGAATTTCCAAAAACTGAATATCAATCTTGCACATCTTCGTATGAAAACCTTTTCTCTATACAAATATTCTATTAGCATAACCCATTTCAAACTACCGAAACACCGTCATGTATATGGTTGTGAAGTATATATATATAACAACTGTATGATGCAGTTCAATTCATTGTTTGACTCAATTGTATTAATCTCTAAAGTTATACTTAAAAGTGCAATTTAAAAGTTTATCTTTTGTAAAATCATTGTAAGAATTATCGAGTATGTGGTTGCCAATGCATTCTCTAAGTTTGACGGTTGGTGTTTCAAGAGACATATCATTTAAGGAGAGGGCTTTCATAGGCTCTGCCTGTTGCCCAATTCCTACTGTCAATACCACCATGACAATAAAATATTCTGAAAGAAAAAAGACATATCCATGGACGCAAACATGTCCTTTTCTTGACTTATGTTCAATACAAAATGTTTTTATATCAAGGGCTTGTTCACATGATGATCTAAATTCTAACATTTCTTTCGACAATTTTAAAATTTTATGCCCTAAGCAGATTAATTGTTAGCATTTACTGACGTGTCTTAGAAAGAGGGAACAGGTATGTACTGCAGATTGATTATTAGCATTTACTGACGTGTCTTAGAAAGAGGGAACAGGTATGTACTGCAGATTAATTATTAGCATTTACTGACGTGTCTTAGGGAAAGGAAACAAGTTTTCTCTTCTTAAATCCACACTACTTCCCACTATACAAGATTTCTCAACTATAATCGGTTTTTTTCACGTGGCAGATAATTATCAACATCACTGACGTGTCCTAGAAAGAAGAAACAGGTATATGGTACAGATTAATTATTAACATTACTGAGGTGTCTTAGAAAGAGGATACATTTATATACAACAGATGAATTATGTATTTGGCTCTACATTATCAATTGAAAATTGATATAGAAACATATCATTCTCTTCTGTGCCCTTTATACAATCACTGTTAATGTTATCATACTAAAGTGACGTTATCAAGGATCACTTTACGTCTTAACCTTACTGTTACATGATGTACCTATAACATTCTTGTTTCTACCAATTGTGTGTTTGCTTTATTGTTTAATGTTCTATATCTATACACAAATTATTTGACCTTTGAACTCTATTAAGACGAGGGCAATAAGACCAAAGTGGTTAAATCAGTGTTGATGAGAGTTTTTTTTTTAAACACCAGTATTTAAGATTCGTCGACAATACATCCAATTCTTTTCGATATTTTAAGTTCTTTTTTTTTTGTAATTATCAAAATGAAAAATAGATATTTCCGTTGATTATTTTTCATTTCAGACCTCAGTTAATACATAACGGTAAGAATCAACTTGACATGATTAAGGAGGTGAAATATTTAGCAAATTCTTGGTTAAAATTCGATATCATACATACCAGAATACACAAGTTCGGTAAGGTTGGCAGGGCAATCTGTTCGTCCCCAGCGGACAAATATGGACCCGCCTCTAACTGTAAAGAATACAAAATGCATTAATTAGTTCTAATGAAGTTTTCACATAAATGTCCAACGAAATATTGTTGATATTTGTGTTTGCGTTTTCGAAAGCGTTTAAATAAATCTTCATGTATTATACCTTTGTATTTAAAAATAAAACCCATTCATTCATTCATTCACCTATCATGTTTTTAATTCGTTAAGACTATTTGGTCACTTTGCACATCAGTATCCGCTCGTAATTTAATTTTTTATGATGTACTGTTATGCAAAAAATCAATAAATAGAATTAATTTTATTAATCAACCTTTGAATAAGTGATTTCAGTTCCGATGCTGTCTTCTGGAGTATTTTGTTTTAAATGAATTTCAGTTATTATAAATATGAAATACGTTTTGGTCAGTGCCGCTGAAGTCGCGTCACCGCCACGTACTGGCCTGCTTATGTGAATGGTGCTGTTTAAATTTCCAATCTAATATCATTCCTGTTTATTCCTATGTCACATACAGAGAACAAAGTTTGAACGTCATGACTGAGATCATGACATCACCATCAACACGAAATAATGGTTAGAAGTGTAACACTAGTACATTGTTTTGTACTAATAGCAGTATTCACTGATTTTCTTGTAAGAAAACTTTAGCATGGGCGTATGTAATACCCGCAATTTAAACGTTTCTGATTGGGATAAACAACTATGCTCTACTGCTCTCCATGAATTCCATTTAAAGATATCCGTATGTTTTACCGGTAAACACCTAAGGAAAGTATAGTATATAGAGTTATTTCCCTTTAATTCATTGTAATATATATATTCGTGTATCTTGTTGGTTTAAGGTTTATTAGCCAAAGCAGTGACAAGAGGATTGGGCACAAGTTCAAATGAAAGAGAAAAGAAAAACAGTCTCACAAATAAATTTAGTAAATATCTCAAGAATAAAACAAAGAAGAAAAAAAATACATGAAAATCAGGTTATGTTTAAGACCGTTTATTTGTTGTCAGTAAAATGTATTAAAGGCTATATTTTTTAAATTATTTCTAATCACTCTTCGGTATGTATGGAAGCCCAGTCTAAGTTCCTGTATCAATAATCAATTAAATACACTCACTAATTACTTGTTACATATTTGTAATTAATGAATACACCATGCATCTTGCATACTTCATTTCCACGTTGTCGGTACTGATGTAATAGGATGCATTGATCTTTGAATATCAGGCTATAAAATATATACACACTGTATAATACTTTTAAAACTATAACGTTGTATTGCTCTCATAGTTATCATATGGTATCCCACGGTCATATGACCTATTTATTTGTACTATATGTGATTTTTCCATTACAAATTACCAGGAAACCCTCTGATTTGGGAAAAGTATAATTTGATTTCATATTTATTCGGTATTAGAGTGAACTTATACTATTGACAAGTTTCCTAAGAAAATAAAAAGGAAAAATTTAGATTTCATAATTGTCGACGCAATGAACAAAACAAGAAAATTGATATTGTTGAAATGATATAATTTAGTCGATTTTTTAAAGTTTGCGTTTTAAGGTATCGATATGATACATTCTGTTGTACATTGTTAACATAATATCGAATAATATTACAGCAACTTACAACTGTTTCCCTGTTTTAGTGAGGATATTTCACTCGTCTGTGCCTCTACTTTTGCCTGTAAGGTCTGTAATTCTCCTTGAAGGTGGGCTAATTGTTGTTGCAAGTAGGCGGGGTCGCTCAGAAGAATCCTCTTCTCGATGTTTTCATTACAAGTAACATATGCTAACAACATGGACAGTGCCACGATGACGGCCAAAACCATTTTGCAGATGATATGGTGAAAAAATTATCTAAAGAGGTTACCTGAAAACTAAAACTAAGTCGGACGATAAGAAAGTGCCTTCTGTACACCATATGGCTATCTCTCACTGACACCGTGACCCGCATATATTAAAGATTAATATGTATTTGAAATGCAAATTTTGGTTAAGTTGCTCTGGCACTTCGTTTCTTTAAAACGACAGAAGATTTGATTAGATATATAAGAAATCATTCATTTTTCGTTGTTTGTACGCAATATGCAGCTTGTAGATTCGTCGACGTTTTCTTTTCCAGAAAACATCTAACTCCGCCCACTTAATAATTATTGGAGGAGTCAATGGCAACACGCCACCTCGCGGCGTTTCTGTTGGAACTTCCTTTTTATATGAATGGAATATCTCTTTCCACAGTAAATGTAAACCAAAAACTGACTACCACGTCATAAAATATCCAAATATCTGACAATGTACATGTACACAAACAATAAACAACGAATAAATAACGGATTTATCAGGGGGAAAATATGTTATATGATAGGTTTTTTTTTAAATTTCCGTTTAAAATGTGACAGGCCCACTAAATGAATGAATTTTGAATGAGTGAAATTAGAACGAATTAGCTGCGTAGTGATTTGTTATGAAATCATTTTTCATGACAATATCAAATCTATACATGATGTGTTTGTTTTGTTTTTGAAACCCAACTGAGAAATTAGTTATAAGCTTTGATAGGAATGTTTTTAGTTTCCAGCTGCTATAAAAGAAAAACCTATTTGCAAACGTATCATGAAAGTACCATTTTACAAATCATGTTTTTCACACTAGCATGAAACTAAAACACATTCCTATCAAAGCTTAGATAATAATAATAAAACAGCTGGACTATACGTCTTCAGCCAATCAAAATATGCCAATCCTTCAGATTCAATATTTTTCAGTTACAATTTAGTATATTAAAGTCCATAAAACATCTCTAAACCATGTACTGTATCTAGTACCTTCTTCCTCTGGTTATCGAACCTTTCTAGTAGTTATAGAAATATTCATGTTGTGAAATACACGATTTATATCAAGATGAAATTTCCGTTCCTTTTCTCAATATCCTCATTCATTGAGGTCCACGATACGAATTATTGACAAATGCCTTTACCTTTTTGTAACACATATGATATACCGAAAACTGCGTAACTGCAACGCAGATGTACTTGACGTTGTGCTTAAATTTTCAGATATATAAGAATACTTAAACTTATTATTTTTTTGTCCAGCGTTCATGATAACGGGCGGTTAAACTCAACTCAAATCATAACCCCTTACTCGTATTCCTTTTCGTAGATTCCTACAAATCAGGAACAAACAGCTGCATGCTTGATAATTTGGCATACACGAAATATCTAGGATAAAATCTGTACGGAAATACGCTGTTCGCTTGTTTATCTGAAGTACAATTCATAGCTAGCTAAAATATAACGAAGTGAAATATTATACATGCATAAAAATATACATTATGCTCTTTTTTGCTTGTTTTATATATAAATGCATATCTTCTTCTGACGACTACCGTAAAACATCTACGTTGTCTTCATCAACCAGCATCTTATTTCCCTTTATCATACATAATATATCATGTACTTAAAGCACATTCCGTATGCTATCTATTAATTATGCCCATAGAATATTTTTTGTGTTTACGTCAACAGTATTATATACCATGAATCGAAAAATGGCGCAACAAAATGGCTGCCTCCGTTTGATACTCTCTTCTCCATTTACCTTTAAAACTTGTCAAAATGGAACTAAAAACTCGCGATATCGTTCTCTAACGAAAATGGAACGAAACATGACAAATACGGAATTTTCTTCCTGGTGTATCTATAGGATTTGGAATGTATATACTGTAATATGAATGTCAACATCTCATCTACCTGTTTTATCAATAAAGATTTCTAAGAAAATTGAATTAGATAAGATGATGAAGAATTGTTTCCTTTATAAATAAAGAAACAAAATATTGAATACTCTTCAATTATTTATTTCAAACAAATTACACAAGATATATTGCTCTTGTTCGTAAGGGGGCATCTCTGGGAACCACAAAGCGCCTTGTCACCTAAAAAACGTACCCTATTATCTTTTCTAATTGTTCCTCCTGTGAGAAGTTGGGCGTGCTCTTCTACACAAACAGGGATGTAGCGGCTTGACCATGGTTCCCTTTAGTCAGTGACCCACAAGTACGCCTTCGTCCAGCCACTGTAACATAACGTCCTCGCCGAACCTCTTCGTTATCCAAATTCTTGAAGATTAAAAGACTACATAACCCTTTCTGATATGCTGATTGTTGTATATTAGGAAATCTACTAGAGTTGAGGACAGGGTTAAACCTCTTAGATAAAATCATTTCAAAGGTTTTATAAATTACTGGTAAAAGTGCCACCCCCCCCCCACCCCCTCCCGATAACTGTTTGGGTCATCCTTCGGTTTACCGTTGCCCTTATACAAAGTTATTATAACACCCTTCTTCCAATCAACTGGAATATGCTGAATTTTGATAACAGAATTATACAGTTTACACAGATGGCTATATAGCGAGCTATTTCCATATTTAAAATGCTCATAAAACGTACAATCGTCCCCTCCTGCTTTATTTAATCTTAATTTGCAACAAATATATCTTACCTCACGCTCTGTAAAAGGTTCATCCAGATAAGGGTCATTCTCCTTCGAGATGTTAAGTTCAATGTTATCAACACATTTCAAAATCTCGCTTTGGAACTTATTGTTAAAGCAATTGTCTGATTTGTCAGCAAATATGTTTTCAAAATGGTCCGCCCACTTATCAACTATATCACTGGGGTTACGATAGGTGACTCCATCGTATTTCAGTTCTGTTTGAGCATACTGTTTCCTTAATGCTTAATTTTTAAATAGTTGCCAAAACATTTTTTGTTAATCTCCTCTGATTTTTCAATCTCTAAAAACTGCTTTGACATGTAATTATTAAATGCTTTTTTAAGACTTCTTCTGAAGTCAGCTTTTGCCTGTTTGTACTTACGGTAGCTGTCTCCGTGTACGTCACGTGGTTTCCCATGACTTACCCACACCGTCCTCACTTTAATCATTGCGTCATGAAACAACGAAAGCTGCTCATTCCAATAGGGCTTCAAATACTTGTTAAACTTTTTCATATGTAAACATTCTTTGGACGCACTTATTAATGCTGAAACAATATCGTTACTATATCTCTCTATTCCATCAATTTATTATCACAAGTACGTATTTCGCACAACTTAACATGCAGTGAGTATTTATATTTTTGTAACAGACCATCAGACATAGCTTTTTTTCCAATTGAATCTCATATTTCCTGCTTGATTACTCTGAAACACTTGTGTTGGAATGCTCAATGAACATATTACAGGTAGATGTTCCGACAAGTTTTACTCCGTTTCTTCTAATATACAAACCTTGTTTACTAGGTCGAACATACTCGATTCAATTATTACATGGTCTATCAGTGTATGATTTCCAGTTTGGGGACAGAATGTATAGGATGGACCAGAACACTTCCTTTGAACATTCACCGACATTAAATTAGACCTGTTTAAAAACTCTTGAAAACATACAGAACGAATGTTTTCTACAAATTCGCATACGAGGCCCTTTGATTTTCACATTCATATCACCAAGAAATAAAACTTTACCTCTCTCAGAATAAACTGAGTAAAGACATTCTGGCATCTCAACATTATTACTGAATACATCAAATGCTCTCGATGACGCTGGCATGTATACTACAAAACAAAATAAGGCCTTCAATGTTCCAGCACATGGTGCTTAATCTAGTCATGCTTGTGTTCATCAAGGAACACCGCTCGCGGAACCCACGGTCTCATGCCAATGTCATCAGGCCAAAAATGGCTGGCATTGATTATGTCGGCATCCTCAAATACAATATTCAACTGCGCTGAGGCTGTGGTCTTCCATCTATGTTCAAAATATCTTAAAAAGGTGACTCGCACCCCCGCTTTCTGTAGAAAGTCACGCATAGCTGACTCGGAAGCTATGTTCCTGTTTATACCATAAACATAAAAGCGGCTAATTTCACGACGGGTTTGTGTCTTATAACCGACCAATTTCCCAGACATGCTATGCCTATTTTTCCGAGTCGTATTGCAGACAGACGAGGGGAAGTGACCCTTTATTTGTTTATTACACTGTGACTTTGACCGTTCTGTCGTTATTTCCTGTCCGTTCATACCTACTTGTATTACCTGCACTATCTGTACTCAGAATCTCAAACCGATTCCTGCATTGAAGAGCCTGTTCTGTGGTCTGTCTCCTGTCCGCCGTAGAGTCGAAATTTACGTCTTGGGCTAAACCTGACGCTTGTGTTTTTGTCATATCATTTTTTCCTGTTTTACTATCCTTTCGAACGTCTTGTGAAAATCTCTTTCTTTAACTGTTACTTCATTTAATTCCTGTCGTAGATTTACAACTGAAGCTTGGCACTGTCCCACGTCGTAGTTAAGTTTATCAACCTGTTGTTCACCACACTTTGCTCTTTCAGTTACCAACTTAACAGACTTCTTGAGACTGACTATTCCATTTAACTTTTCATCGTCGAATCTTGACGCTATTTGTACGCAGTCACTTATTTTATCCCGTATTTGAGAGACTTCAGTACTCAGATTGCTCATCTTTTTTCCAAGTGAATTCTCACATTTCTTGAGATCGTTTTGCACATACGACACATTTATGTCCACGTTCTTTGCATATTTAGACAGTGTAGCACCTTCTTCTCTCAACTTATTGATTTCCTTTGCCATTTTTTCATTTTTTTTTTTTTTTGCAATAATCTCATCATTGCATACCTTTAGTGATGTTAAAGATTGACGTCGATCATCTATTTCCTTTGCTGTTTCTTGAATTGTATTCCTAAGTGTTTTTAATTCTGTTTGGTACTTTTTTGCTCTGTCTTTTGCTTCTCCCTTTTCTTTAAGAATGTTTCTTAATTTCTGTTTTTCCTGTTCATCTTTACTTTGCTTTCTCAATTCCATCAGTTCTCTTCTGATGATAGCGACAGCTTCCTTTAAAACTTCAACACCAGATACTTCCGGTCTCGGTCTAGATTTTACACTTTCCGCACGCTTATGTTTTACAGGCACTACCTCCATAAGATCCTCAGAAAATTCTCCTTCACCTGCCCGAAATAAAATGAAACAGTCACGTGCTAGTTTTTGTTCTAACGCCATAGCACCCGATTTACGAGCTTTGAGTCTTTTCCGTAGCTGTCCCTCTTTGACGGGAAAGTCATCCCTAGCGCTAGCGTGTTTGAAAAGTTCATATCTGAGCATTTCAAGGTCAGGGACACTATCATTAGTTAGGTTCCGGATATTGTCAATTAACAAATCTTTAGGCATTTCCCTGTTTTCGCGAAGAATGGCCTCATACCTTATTACATCGCTTGACTGTTCACGCACAGGCACGTATGCATCACACTGACTATCATCAAGTGTTCCATTATTATCGTAAAAAGTTCTGGACATTTGTCCGTTTTCCCAGTCCGACAGACCAACAGGATCCACCGATAGAAGTTCGGTATAGTGTGGTGTGTACTGCTCACTTTGCATGACATTGGTGTCGCTAGATCCCAATAGACTCATCGTATGATGTATGAAAACCCCATATTTTGGATCCATAACTTAGAATGCTATTCACGTGTGTATCAAAGACTGATTTTTATTGAATATTTCTGGAAGTTCCATTAGAATTAAGTTCCATGCACAACAGGTTAAATTAGTTTATAATTTCTAATTGGCAGTCGTTCTCGTCATTTCTCAAACTGCCACCGTTTCGAAACGTATTGCAAGTTAAGTCCCATTTTTATTTTTATTAATTATCTATCTATTTTTTTTATGTGTTTCTAAAGAATTTAGCATATCCTGTAAGCCTTCTGAAATCTCCGAGAATGTTACCATGTCATCTGCGTACATTAATAGGAACAAGTTTAGAGTAAGGATTTCAACCAGTTGTCAATCAAAATTTCATTTCACAATCATTTACGTACAAAGAAAGCAATAATGGTGACAGAATTTCCCTAGGGAGCAATCCATTTTCACAATCAAAATAATTAGATAATGAAACATTTTGCTTAACAAAACATTTAACACTACTATACAGCGACCTTATTAGCTTTAACAATTTTCCTTCAATATCTTCCCTTATTAACTTAAACCATAGATCCTGGTGATTTCAAATTAAACGCCGTAGTATAACCAACAAAACAACAGTACAGTCTTTTCTTATTTCTCAAAGTACGGTTAATTATTGCGTGTAATGCAAATTTAGCGTTAATAGCAGAATGTTTGAAGTCAAATTGAGTACCAGTTATTTTACTATATTTTAAGTCAAAGATCATCAATCTATCATTGAGCACTGATGTGGAAAGGTTTTGAAGACAACTAACAATAGTAATTCCATTGTAGTCATTTACATCATCAGCGTCCTCATTTTTGAAAACAGGGACAACATTCTGGAAAATGTTCATATCTAAGTAAACTTTTGAATAAAGTGATAAAGCAAAGCATTAAAACCGTCTTACATTTGATTAAAAACTCATTCAAATACCATCTGGACCACACGCCTTATTCGTATCTAATTTGTTAATTGCATTTAATATTTCACACTCTGTTATATCAACGTCCAACCCGTCAATTAATACATTTGGAACTTAATCTTCATGATCTTGCATAAACTCGTTAACATCATCATTCATATTTGGAATAGTTACGGCCAACGTTTTGAAAAGATTCAAGAAATCAAGCTCATTCAAATCACAGTTAATAATTAATTAAAAGTATATACAGCATATTTATGATCTCTATACAATCTCTTACATGTGATATTAAACCATGATTTATCCTCTTTGACTAATGCATTTTTTTTTACGTTACTGGAATTATTGCTAAATGTACATGGAATTCGGTAACGGTACTATTTATGCTATCTTCACTAGGATCAACATTACTGCGAACTTTTTTTGTAAATAAGTTTTGGACATTGTTGTGTAACGTTCTTTCCATGTCTTCAGCATTATCCTCGTTCCACTTAATCAGAACAGATGGTGCCATTGATGTTTCTGCCTCAGGGTGGTCATGTGGCGCAGAGGTAACGCGCTCGCCTTTCACTTAGCCGTCCGGGATTGTATCCTGGAACGGTCGTGAAAAGGTAGGGGGTCACGAGGGTTTTCCCCGTGTATCCCGGTTGCCTTCCACGGCAAAACCCCTCGCACGCTTACATCCGGGCCAACATGAGTGATTAGTATAAGCTGAAATAACCTATTTCGCAATTGTTGTAAAATAAATAAAGTTTATACTTATTTTCTGTCCCACACCCCTTCTCACACTATCTACTTTCACGCTTTGCTTTATCCGACCTATCTTTCCCAGCATTTCTCGTATGCTGTAAAACCGAATGCTTTTAACAGCGGTGATAAAGCCCGTGTTGTATTTGTTATATACAACTGAATCAAGTACTCAGTTATGCTGTTAACAGGTTTACAATGTTGGGAACTCTTTTCAAATAATTTAAATCTATTGTAACTAATAAGAAGATAGAAACGTCAAAATACTTGAGAAGTTCTAGACGAAAGATTCCATGTTTAAAACCATGTAATAACTTAAGTCAATAAACACATCAATAATTGATGACATCGGGTGATAAATTGTGACGTAAGGGAAAAAATAAATCATAAATCTAAATTACATTTACGAAAAAAAAATCTGAAGCAAATTTTATTTTTTTTTCTTTTCATTTCTTTCCCTTTTCTATGTTTTCGCCTATTTTACAATTAGTAAGTTGACCTTGCATATATAATCACATCACTTATTCAAATCATTCTCTTCATCGCCGAGAATCTATGTATTTCATGTAACATACCTATGTCTATTGACCATGATCTTAAGATTTTCAATGAAAGCAAAAGTTTGATACATTAAGATAGAATATTCTTAAAGTTACATACCATAAAACTGAAATAATTCAGTTCATGGACTTCGTCCGTTAGCAATGTAAGGAGACAAAATGTGAGGGCTAACATGATGGAAGGCAATATGGTTGAGGAAATACTGAAACATGTATGACAATTATATAGCTATATACGAGTTCTTATACTTCTTTGAAGTCAAGTCTGACTCTTTTCATAAGGCATTTATGGTACCTATGTTACCTAGTGTTTTGCTGGTTTTGTATTTACTAACGCGACAGTGAGTGATGCAGGGGAAGTAACTCGTAGAATATTTAACTCGTCCCAACAGCTATGGTGTGGCCAAGATCGATATACTGGCGTGTCGGTAAAATCGGGTTAATAAAATACCACCCCTATGATGTCGGAGAAGACAAGTTAATCAGAATTATTCTTATATCCATCCAACATCGGAGTTTATTCTGTTTGGTAGCATGGCCATGAAAAATCAAATTAATGCACATACATGCAGTAGTTGTAACGTTGGTAACGTCCATAAATCTGAGAGAGAATAAAAACGAAGAAAACTTTGTACATTTTATCGACATCTTCAATGTATTACTTTATATCCCTTATTCCATTTTTCCACCAACTTGATTATTTTCTCATGGCAGTAGTTTTAATACATGACATAACTACGCTATTAAACAGGTGAGTCATCAGCAATAACAGGGTTAGTGTTGACAATTAGTCTAACAAACGAGGATTGTTTCCAGACAGTCTGTCATGAGTCGATCACAAAAAATAGACTAAGAAAGCAGTTTTATTATTTAGTTACCTATCTAGAAACATATATCCAACAGTTGGACCCAGCGGAAAGACTTTTTTGTTTACACCGGAAACTACTTGATCGCATGCGCAACGACGAACTCATCTCTTGCAGCCATGATTCGTGTGAAAAATTCGGTAGCAGGGTAAAGGTAGGACCAAGAGCGAAATAATTCGTAGGTGAGTAGACCGAACACCTCTATTCTATGCAGTTGACAACTCGAAACCCTATGTTTCATTTGAATTCTAATTCAGAAGTCATCAGTGACTCAAACGGGACGAGACAACGAAAAACTTTTACAGATGTGGGGTCGGATGAGGAAACGGCCTCGGAGGTGTTCATCGAGAGAGGTCAATGAGTAATGTTCCTGTGGTGTTAGATTAACATGACGCAAATATTAGACTATGATTTGTATACATATTCAGCCAAATTTATTTTGGTCCAACTGTAAATGGTTTTATTTTAATCATTACTACACTAGAAAGTAAACAAATGTTAAGAGTGAAGTGACAGTTGTGAACTCATGACGTCAGCTTGACCTGTCGTCTGAGCATTCCGATCCTAACTTACATTACTTATGTACGTACAACGATATCACGTAAGTGTATCTACAACAGTGTATTATTCATGGCAGTACTATTATTGTCCCCAGAGCTGTCAAGTTCATCCTTTATCCTGAATTTCCCTTGTGGTGCCTCCGGCTATCCAACGGCTACCAGGAGCTATGTGATGCTAGCGACTGGAGAAAGCATGCCATTCATTGAGAACACGTCTCCTTCGCTGTTTATTAATTAACCCCACAACAGATGCTAGGAAGCTCTGCCCCAAAAAATAAATATTTCACGCAGTCATTTGTGGAGTAGTGGTACATGTGTTTTAGATGAGTCAAGCTCATTTTAAGCCATATGAAGGTTTACAGTGTATATGTTACTGAGGATGTTACAATGCAACAGCACCAGAGCTGTTAGCACTACCCCATTGCTAGTCACTCATGCACAAATACATATATACTCAGCTTCTATCATTCCTTATGTCATACTCTTTGGCTTAATTGCACCTAAACAGTGTAGAATGATTCATCCTTCTAGCTCTTTGTTTCATTGCACATGTATGTTTACGTGCAGTCTGAGTATATCAGCTGTGCTGCCATTACATAGTTAGCAGGCTGTCCTATTGCGATGCAGCAGTGCATTGAGATATTATTGTGTTACACACCGGTATTACAAAGTTCACATAGTATAGATATATAGGCCATAGTATATTAAGAAGATAATTGTTATCACCTAGTATCCAAATTCCTTTTGACCAATCGGTTTTATTGTGGTTTGTATACCATGGATATTGCATTTAGATTAATTAACAAAAGTGTAAACAAAACTGCTTTAATATAGTCAAATATACCTTGATTAAAGACACAGAATGATACCATTTTTACACTCTCATAAAAATCAAGTGCTGTTCAATTTCATAGCGACATTCCTACATAACTCCATTTTAATGTTAATAATCATTCCCTTTCCCATTATGTCCAGATGAATTTTTCATTTCACAAATGAAGTATTTAATCAATATGTTCTTTGTAATAATAAAAAGTAATAAAATACATTTCTGAGTTGCTTTGACAATTGAAGATATAAATTCTTTTTTTTTTTTTTTTTTTTTTTGCGTTTTCTATATTTGAAAATTCCAAGTATTCATTTTCATGCAGTCAGAATTTGTTTCCTAAGATCCTTGTTCAAAGTATACTGTTAGTTATTTATAGCACTTGCTATTTAACTACCAGGTATAATTACAATATCACTTCATGGGATACTAACAGTCATCATTGACGCTCATTACATGTGTTATAACAACATGTAAATATGCAAGGTAGGTCTAATTGTCAATTGGTTCGGGGATACACATGGCATGTTTTTACGCAAATTTTAATACCTGTTATTGATTTCTTTTGTTTCTTCTGACTAAATCTATGCTATTTTCATGACGTGATGAAAAAACAGGAATATCTTTAACAAATTTTAAAGAAAATTTTACTATATTTTTACAATTCAAGTAGACACGGTCTTTTGTAAAATTCAGATAGTTAAAACACTAGCTGTGTCTATTAATTATAAATTCTTTGTATTTTTTATTTTCTTGTGTAAATTTAGATACTTGATAACCCTTTGTCAATATGCTTTGTTAAACTCTTCATTTGATTTCTCTATATGAATTAAAAGGTCCCACTTTTATCTCAAGTTAAAAAACATTGTGGTTATGCTACAATGGTGATCAATCATGTATATGTCATTACTCGTGATCTGTATAATGTATATTATGTAGAATTACACAGTATTGCTCTGTAGAAAACCATATCAAGATTATGTATAATTAATGCTGCTTGCAAAACATTGAAATACTTTCTAAAATACACTTACATATTGCAATATATAAGTAACATTATATGTATATTTGTATATATGCATACAACAGAGAAACTACTGACAGTGGAGGATAAAATACTTTGGCAAATTTTCAAGGTGATCTACCTCTTTGTCAACAAGACAACACAAAAACTTGCAAAAGCAAGACATCAAACAATAGTTACATGAATCAGTAATTTTTTGTGTGATTTTTTTTGTGGTGAGTCCAGAACATAATTTTTATGAGTACAATTATAAAAAATATATATAATGTGGCAGTGTTGGTTCCCCAAATTTCATTGAGTTCCACAGGAAAAGCATGAAACCAGGGCTCAAATGTTTAAGTCTGAAAAATCACTGAATTGAATATACACAATATTCAATATCTTTCAATGTAAGTGGGTTTCATGTACATGTTCAATGCATTAGACACTGTTCACTTTTGCTCACACTTTTTCTATTGCATTGCTGTCTGATATCATATGATAAAAATGTTAACATTAACACCTCATTGTCTCTAACCATTATACCTACAAGCAACTCTGACCTGTGACACTGATTACGGTAGTATAATTATATATAATTGATTCACTTGTTCATTTAATAAATGACCAAAAATCATGGCCAGGCCAATTGTTTATATACCACAGGGAATTTTACACCTCTAATTGTGACTGTATGTGTTAATGATATAATGTTTACTCAGTATCGTTTAAATTTGCATTATATTATGACAGATCATAAGTCATATAAAGTTGTACCGTCTAAAAATTAACAGGTTACCTTCCAAAAGCAAAATTTTTAAAGTTGGATAGACTTCAGGTACATTTACATTGTACAATAGGACGACAGACTATTTGCTGAAAGGTATCTAGTTAAAGGATAGTTGTACCAGGTAATAGAAATGAATGTATCCTTCAGTGTCAGCTAGAATGACTGTTATAAGATAGATTATTTGCAGAAACAATAGTTGAAATGTATTTTTTGTTTATTTTGTGTCATTTCTGAGATATTAATTACATTCTGGATAATCTCAAGAAGTTTATGTTACATTTTTTTTTTTATTTCTTTGCAGTATTATGATTTAAACTGAAAAACATTACTGGGAGACAAAGCCTTTTCTCCACTGACCTGGATATACCTATAACATCTAAAAGTGCTAAGTGTGTGAGGTGGAATTAGATTTAAACCTGCTTATTGATGGTTAAAATTGATCTACCAGACCAGAGGTAGCTGCTACCACAAGAAATCTTGCCAAAACCAGACATCTTCTTGATGACATTTTCAAAATGATGGAGTGAAAAAAATTGAAAAGAGGTAATATTGCAATATATTATAACAATATGCTCATAATTCTTGATTTTATTTAATTCACGAAATAATTTTATGAAAATGTACAAAACACTTTGCTATATATTTGTTGATGATGTACATTGTATGTATGATGTACTGTAATTATATAATCAATTAATAATTATGATACTATGTCTTTTAAAAAATCAGATTAAGATATTATTAAAATCTTGACATTTTCAAATTTAGGTATTTAACAAGACATTGCTGGATTTGAAATGTTCAAAACAATATCTTAAGTGGTGTATTAATGGTGTAAGTTTGTGGAACGATATCAATTTTACTTGTGTTTTTGGAAGTGACTGATTTCAAACATTCTGGTGATGTCATAGATTGATTGAAAAGAAATTGCTGCAGATTTTTCTTATCTATTACTTATTTATGTTGGTTTTAATTCTGAAAAAATATGGATGTTGATCATTTCACAATCATATGATAACTTTTCTTCAAATAAATCTCAAACTGATTAGAATAAATTTCTGCAATTCAGTAAATAATTTTGATTTAGCAATATTTTTTCCATGTTGTGTGTCATTCAGGTCTGGCTTTGAAATTGGTTGAGATTTTCATTGTGATTATGCAGTGCTCTCCCCAGTAGTTAAAAATAAGCTAACTACATGAGTAAAGAGTGAGGTATTGCATAAATGCTTTACACAGCACAATTTATTTACTTATTTGTTTTGTTTTTTGACTGGAATCCTTTCAAACTATAATTTAATACAGACAGAATGTGAAATTGTACCTTAATTCTTGAAAATACTTCAAGAGGTCTTTGTTCGTTTTAAATTCACAGTTAAGCATATGGAAAGTAATCAGAATTATATGTTTCCTATTGCAGATGAGTTTACCTCGACCATCAGGGCTAAAAGCCCCCTCTAAGATTGGCAAACCTTCTGGTATGCCAACTCCACGTCCATCAGGTACAAGCATCCCAGCACCTGGCTCTGTGCATAAAGTGCAAAGTAAGCTTGCTCCTCCCTGCTTCTGTCTTCCTCTCCTTTGTTTGTACTTTCCAGTTCTACCTTGGATTACTTTCTTGCATCCACAGTGTGTGTTGTCACTTTTCGTGTGTTCATTTGCCATTGTTTAGCTTGCCAGTCAGTAAAAAAAACTTATTTAGAAGAAGCAGAGGTAAATAATCAGTATGTTTTTACAAAATATCAGTAAGACAAATAATAACTATTGTTAAGCAGATTTGCTAATGTTATGATAACTGTGAAAAAGATATTGCACTGCAAATTTTCTTCTGAACTATTTAAGAAACATATTTTTATGATAACATTTAAAGAAGTCAGATATTGAACAAATTTGATAAATCTCAAGCTGATTCTGTATATAGTTAAATATGCATGAATATGATTTTATATTTTTAAGATTTACAAAATGTAGAGTTCATGGTTATTTTAAATGATACATCAATATGATGCTAGAGCTATAGACATCCTTCGTCAAATATACCACATGTGTTGAATTATGAAATAATAGTTATGAACAGCCTGCATTGAATGTGATAACCTTGGCTTGATGCTATGAAAAATTAATTTTGATCTTAACAAGGAAAGAAAAAATACTTTTGGAAAACAACTGTTGTGTTTCAACTTTGCAATATACCTTAATTAAACTTGCCTAAAAGGACATCTCTAGATATACCTACATATACTTGAGGTCTCTAGTTTAGAGTACCAGTGTTACACAATTCATAACAATTAAATCAACAATACACATCCAACCTGATGTCATCCTGATATAATGCTCACCACACATATCCAGCAAAATAAAATCAAGCGCTAATGTTGCACCAATTGCAAGCTTGTAAGTGACCTTGATTATATATCCAGTAATTATATGAAGCAGTAAAGCACCAGTGATAAATTAAAGTAAACTGAATATCATTGTGTATTGTTTATACATTACATTGTGTTTATTATGTACAAAATTACCCGAGTATATGTAGTATATATTATCTAAAGTATTATGTCACCAATGAATATGAAATACATACGTTATCACAAGTATGTAATAGGATAATAAAATAAAATCATTTTACAATTTCTGATATATTTTCTTTCAAAGAACTAGATGTTATGAAGAAAGTGCTGCTCAAGTTTTCCTAAAAAAAGAAAGAACAAAAAATTTAAAAAAAAAAAAAAAAAAAAAAAAAAAAACGAGAAAAAGCCACGATGGAACTTAAACAGAATTTCATTATCAGTAATTGTACATACTAGCATGGTATCTTTATTGCAGTGGGGTTTTTGGTTGTTTGGGAAAAGAGAGTGTGTCTGATAAATGGGAATACATTAATGCCATTGTGTGTCTTGTTATATTAATATAGTGACTTGGTAGAAATACATACCTTAGGTACATCTTATCTAGATATTAACCCTGTAAGGCCAAGAAAGAAGACAAAAGGAAAAACAGGACAAGAAAGAAGACACAGGGGAAAAAAAGTTTGAATATGAAAAAAGTCAAATTGATGATTATTCATTTAAGAACCACAAATTTTAGGGGTGTCTATTGTCTTGTATTAGTTATTTCATTGAAGTCTTGCATGAAACTTGGTGTCGTAACAACAGGTTGTTGTGATAACAGCTCTTGATTAATTTCCAGCATTTTTCACAACTTCCAAACACTGAATTTGGCTCTAACCATTTTGTCAAGGTCAAACTGTAAATATGTTCTGGATTTTTTTTAAGGTATGATAAATCTGTTTTGAGATTGCTTTTTATAAAAAATTTATATGATTTATTTAAAAAAATAAAAAAAATGTAGTCATTTTCACATTCATTAGATTTTTTGTCCTTCCTCAGATTGAAAATTAAATTTTGAAATTGTGCCGTGTACCTTGCAGGCACTTGGAGAAAATTAGATTTTCATTTTCCTTTTTGATTGCTAAAATTTTCTTAACACTTTTGTAATTTCATGTCAGAAATTGAATGTACATATGACTTTGACAGAATGGGTTGTCATGTTTTCTAACTGTGTCTAATCCCTGCTGTATGTGTGTTGCTTGATTTGATTAATGCAGGTGCAATCGCTAAGAGTGCTCGCGCTGCAGGTATCAGTGCCGGAATTGCAGAAAAGTATGCTGCCGACGTCATGTATAACCTGAAAGGTAAACCCTGTCGTTGGTAGTCCTAAGGTAAACCCTGTCATTGGTAGTCCTAATGTAAACCATGTTGTTGGTAGTCCTAAGGTAGACCATGTCGTTGGTAGTCCTAAGGTAAACTGTGTGGTTTGTAGTCCTAAGGTAAACTGTGTGGTTTGTAGTCCTAAGGTAAACTGTGTGGTTTGTAGTCCTAAGGTAAACTGTGTCATTGGTAGTCCTAAGGTAAACCATGTTGTTGGTAGTTCTAAGGTAAACTGTGTGGTTTTTAGTCCTAACGTAGACTGTATTGTTGGTAGTCCTAAGATAAACCCTGTTGTTGGTAGTCCTAAGGTAAACTGTGTTGTTTGTAATTCTAAGGTTAACTGTGTCATTGGTAGTCCTAAGGTAGACCATGTCATTGGTAGTCCGAAGGTAAACTGTGTGGTTTTTAGTCCTAAGGTAGACTGTATTGTTGGTAGTCCTAAGATAAACCCTGTTGTTGGTAGTCCTAAGGTAAACTGTGTTGTTTGTAATTCTAAGGTTAACTGTGTCATTGGTAGTCCTAAGGTAAACAGTGTCATTGGTAGTCCTAAGGTAAACAGTGTCGTTTGTAATCCTAAGGTAAACAGTGTCGTTTGTAATCCTAAGGTAAACTGTGTTATTGGTAGTCCTAAGGTAAACTGTGTTATTGGTAGTTCTGAGGTAAACTGTGTTGTTGGAAGTCCTAAGGTAAAACATGTTGTTGGTAGTCCGAAGGTTAACTGTGTTATTGGTAGTCCTAAGGTAAACTGTATTGTTTGTAGTCCTAAGGTAAACTGTATTGTTGGTAGTCCTATGGTAAACTGTGTCATTGGTAGTCCTAAGGTAAACTGTGTCGTTGGTAGTTCTAAGGTAAACTGTATTGTTTGTAGTCCTAAGGTAAACTGTATTGTTGGTAGTCCTATGGTAAACTGTGTCATTGATAGTCCTAAGGTAAACTGTGTGGTTGGTAGTCCTAAGGTAAACCCTGTCGTTGGTAGTCCTAAGGTAAACCCTGTTGTTGGTAGTCCTAAGGTAAACTGTGTCGTTGGTAGTCCTAAGGTAAACTGTGTTGTTGGTAGTCCTAAGGTAAACCATGTTGTTGGTAGTCCTAAGGTAAACTGTGTGGTTTGTAGTCCTAAGGTAAACTGTGTCATTGGTAGTCCTAAGGTAAACTGTGTCATTGGTAATCCTAAGGTTAACTGTGTCATTGGTAGTCATAAGGTTAAAATGTGTTGTTGATAGTCCTAAGGTAAAACCTGTCATTGGTAGTCCTAAGGTAAACTGTGTCATTGGTAGTCCTAAGGTAAACCCTGTTGTTGGTAGTCCTAAGGTAAACTGTGTTGTTGGTAGTCCTAATGTAAACAATATTGTTGGTAGTCCTTAGGTAAACCCTTTCGTTGGTAGTCCTAAGGTAAACTGTGTTGTTGGTAGTCCTATGGTAAACTGTGTCGTTGGTAGTCCTAAGGTAAACTGTGTTGTTGGTAGTCCTAAGGTAAACTGTGTCGTTGGTAGTCCTAAGGTAAACTGTGTCGTTGGTAGTCCTATGGTAAACTGTGTCGTTGGTAGTCCTAAGGTAAACTGTCGTTGGTAGTCCTATGGTAAACTGTGTCGTTGGTAGTCCTAAGGTAAACTGTGTTGTTGGTAGTTCTAAAGTTTACTGTGTCATTGGTAGTCCTAAGGTAAACTGTGTTGTTGGTAGTCCTAAGGTAAACAATATCGTTGGTAGTCCTAAGGTAAATCCTGTCGTTGGTAGTCCTAAGGTAAACTGTGTCATTGGTAGTCCTAAGGTAGACCATGTCGTTGGTAGTCCTAAGGTAAACTGTGTTGTTGGTAGTCCTAAGGTAGACCATGTCGTTGGTAGTCCTAAGGTAAATCCTGTCGTTTGTAGTCCTAAGGTAAAATGTGTCATTGGTAATCCTAAGGTTAACTGTGTCATTGGTAGTCATAAGGTTAAAATGTGTTGTTGATAGTCCTAAGGTAAAACCTGTCATTGGTAGTCCTAAGGTAAACTGTGTGGTTGGTAGTCCTAAGGTAAACCCTGTTGTTGGAAGTCCTAAGGTAAATTGTGTCATTGGTAGTCCTAAGGTAAACTGTATTGTTGGTAGTCCTAAGCTAAACTGTGTCATTGGTAGTCCTAAGGTAAACTGTGTTGTTGGTAGTCCTAAGGTTAAACTGTGTTGTTGGTAGTCCTAAGATAAACCCTGTTGTTGGTAGTCCTAAGGTAAACTGTGTGGTTGGTAGGCCTAAGGTAAACCCTGTCATTGGTAGTCCTAAGGTAAACCCTGTTGTTGGTAGTCCTAAGGTAAATTGTGTCATTAGTAGTCCTAAGGTAAATTGTATTGTTGGTAGTCCTAAGGTAAACTGTGTGGTTTGTAGTCCTAAGGTAAACTGTGTGGTTTGTAGTCCTAAGGTAAACTGTGTTGTTGGTAGTCCTAAGGTAAACTCTGTGGTTTGTAGTCCTTAGATAAACTGTGTCATTGGTTGTCCTACACAGTACATGTATATCCACCACAGAATGCTATATTTTTTCAATACAGAAATAGAAAGCCTGTCCAAATTGGTCCCCACACCCTTAATTTCAACATGTTTTTCATTTTACTTAATACATGTAATCTTGAATATCTTACAATACACAGATTATCCTGAAGTAATGTTAAAGTCCACCTATAATTTATACTGCGGAGAAATTATGTGACAGAACTGCTACATAAACATCAATAATTTTGGTTAGGACAGTAGCCTGCTATATAATGTTAGTTATGGTGGAATGTATTACGTGCAGGCAGTTTGTTGAAACGGCAAGTGAAGTTTGCTAGTGCTTGAATTTCCTTTTTCCTGTGCATGTGGCTGTAGACTTTCTGTTTTCTTCAATGATGTTGAGAAAAGGTATTCTAGTGAATGCAAAGACAGATCAAAATGATTTGGCATGAAGAGAAGTGTTAAAGAATATGTAATGTTATATGACTTTACATGAAGATGGTTTTGAATACTTCTGACATGAATTTTAATTACTAATGTTAAGGCAACTTATAACCACATACTTTAATGATTTAAATCTGTACACAAATCAAACGGAATATTTCATAGTTTCAATAAATAAACATATGATATGGAAGGTATGTCATCAGTGATTGTGCAAGGCCTGCAGTTCATGATATAAGAAGTTCATTTGAAGGTGATGTAACAGGGATGATTGTAAATGGCATAATCAATATGACTTTGATAGAACTTGATCAAAAATTTTTAATTACAAATTAAATTCTTTGGAAATCAGTGTATAAACACTTAAGCCAAAATCAGAAATTCATTATTTATTTCATTGTTTGAATATTGTATATATTTCTTTGAATGTTGTTATTGAGTTATCTTCTAAATTATTTTCATTAAACAAATTTAGAAAGGAATTTTTACTTGATTTCAAAATTTGTTAAATTGATCACTGGTTAAATGAAGAACCTTAGTCAGGCATAATTATTTAGAAATATTCAGCCATGCTGTAAGCAGCCTGTTCTGATTTTTCTCTATTGATATTTTTTGTTGTATGATATTGGACATCAGTATTGATGATTTCACTGTGACATATTCAGGCCACTTGAGCATCTTGTTAGATACATGTGATATAATTAGTGATTATGAACAGATAATGTCCTTCACATCAGAAGTATAATTTTGTAACAGTTATATAGAAATATAAGGTTAAGAATAGAAAATAAATATATCCATAGATGAATGTCACAAATGGATTTCATGCTGGTACTATTACAGCTGATTTCTATCTATGACAGTAAAAGCCAACATAAACAAACAGAGGGCCAGGAAAAGCTTTGAAGTCTTAAAGAAATTTAACTAGTATAAAACATCTGTTATTGTAATATACATAGAACACTTGAGTTCACATACTGGGTTCTGTTGACTAACAGATGCATAAAATATAAATGTGCTTTTCAGATAGTGATATTTGGAAAAATTTAGGTTCATATTGGTTTATAGTGAGTAATACAAAGGTAAGTGTGACTTGTCAAAATATAAATGATTAACCATATTAGGGACTGTTGTTCACTGGAATTGAGATTTATTTAGGTGTAAGAATCAATTTCACCAAGTAGAGTGCTTTTGAACTTACCTGGTAACATTCTGTTTGCAGGCCCTGAGCTGCCCAACCCCCCACCTCCTGCTGATGACTTTATCATTGGGGACAGAATATGGGTGTCCGGCAATAAGCCAGGATTCATTGCCTTCCTTGGGGAAACCCAGTTTGCACCTGGAGAATGGGCAGGTGTTGTGTTAGACAAACTAGAGGGAAAAAATGACGGGTCAGTTCAAGGTGTTAGATACTTTCAGTGTGAAGCTAAACGGGGTGTCTTTGCCCGAATCTCAAAACTATCACGGACACCTAATCTGATGCAATCAACAGCTGCAAGGCCAGAAGAAAGCATGTCTGAGTCAGGACAGAATTCTGTTAAAGCAACACCAAACGGTTCTCACATGAGGCCCACGACTCCAAAATTAGGATTAACAGCAAGCAGAGGACCTTTAGGTTCAGCGTCTAGTTTAACAAAAGCACCAGCCATGACACTTGGAGGAAAACCAACATCTGTTGGGAGTAAACCAGTGTTAAAGATTGGTGACCGTGTGTTGGTTAGTGGGACTAAGATGGGCACACTCCGATATGTCGGGTCTACAGATTTTGCTAAAGGAGACTGGGCAGGTGTGGAACTGGATGAAAAGCAGGGTAAAAATGATGGTGCTGTGGCTGGCAAAAGGTAAGGTATATTTTCACTAAGAAATTACATTATAAACAAATAGCTAGTTCAATATCAGTATTTGAGTATATTTAAATTATTACAAGTAAATTCAGGAATGCCGGATTCCAAATACCTCATTCAGTATTTAAATGTTTGAAAACCAATAAGTGGTTTTCAACATTATTCTTAATAAATACTTGCAGTAACAAAATCTACTTGAATAATAAGTTAGAACATATATTATCTAATGGAATGTAAGCTTATCATTTTATAAGGCATTGAGTTGTATTGGAGAAAGTGTTGTATTATGTACATACCCTATTTCTAGTAATTTTCGGGGAACTAAATTTTCAAGGTTTACTTTAAAATTATCAAATTATATTGTAACAAAATCAAAACTGTGCAATCTGGACATAAAAGGACAAATATATCTCATTATTTCACTAATTAAATTTTTATAGTCACATTAATGTTAAGTGAAAAAATGAAAATATTGTTCCCATGAAAATAACTGGCTGTATGGTGGTCAATGGCTTTAATTACTTTTACAAGACAAATTCAGTTAAGTATTTTTGATACTTATGATTAATATTTGTTTACAGATACTTCGATTGCCGCCCCATGTACGGGCTGTTTGCTCCGTTACACAAAGTCACGCGCCTAACGTCTGGATCTGGGCCTGGCGTTGGTACAGGAAGCACCACCCCAAGCCCTCAGGCACGTTCTCTGATGAACACCAGTTTAAGGTTGTCTCGGGAACGAAGTGGGAGTCAGGAATCTGTCAGCTCCATCAGTTCGTCTGCATCTAGTGTGTCACGAAGCCGGGTAAGACTGGGAGTGACGTCCTTGAATAACCAGGTACATGCAGCTTCACTGATGCTTCTTTATCAAAATTCTCCAAAAATATCCTCAAAAATTTGATTAGGATCTGTATGACATCACTGGTTGTCATAGTAAGATCACATTCTAAATTGTAAATTTTTAAAACGTAGAAAAAATGAAAAAAGTTAATTTAATGATCTGTATGGCATCACTGGTTGTCATAGCTAGATCAAATTTTTGCAACATATATACCTCACACGTATGGATTTCGTCATATATGCTGATACGACACCAAATATTTCTTTGCTAATACTTTTGTGTCACTGTTGATGTGGAAGTAAGGGTTTGGCTCTGAACAGTAGTAGGTTTCATGGTTTGTGTTCTATGGAAAAGAATTCCACTAGTAGCAGCTGGCTCAGACAGATGTGTGGTTTTATATATGGTGCTTTCATGCATGATACAATGTATTATTGATATAACCACAGTTTGGTATTTTCTGTATCATCTTGCATAACTTCCATCATCATTCATCATTATATCATGGTTGAAGAAGTAGTTAAAAGGACAATTTATTTTGTAAGATGCATGTGAAGACGGTTCTTTTTGGAAGATTCACATGGAGTGTCTTTCAAACATAGTTCAAAAAAAAATTTGTCATATTAAAAAAAATTGTTTCGTAAGATACAGGATCTGATTCGTGAACAGCTTCAGAATTTTTTTCCTTCTCTTATCCTGTGAATCATTCAATGGAAATTACTTTGTTTTTATTAGTCTGTTTAATGATTTAAGGGTAAATGTTAAATATGGAGACTTGAAATAACATGGTAATTCGTAAAGCAATGTTTTATAGGACTGTGTGTGTTTAGGTTCACAGTAATATTGATAATCCAGCTAACACTAGTGTGTTGTTATACTATTGTGCCTGCATTAACCATGTATATATATCTATTGTTGTTTACAGCAATAACTTAGGATAACAGTATAAAACTAATCCGTGTGGATAATACATATTTATGATAATCATAAGCTAACAATGGTTTCACCATATTTAAATAACACTTTCATTTTTCATTGTGTTTAGTGAAATAGGAATTCTAAACTAGAAAAATGTTTGTCGATGCATGAAATGATATTTGTCAATATTTCAAATTAAGGAAATTCAGCATAAAGTTTGTTGAATTCAGTGTCGTTGAAAACTAACAATAATAATCCATTCACATGTTTGGCAATTATGTGTCAATCCCTTTTAGTGTAATGATGAACTGAAAAAATGCAAGATCAGCTGAAAGTGAAAGTAGAATGAATCTAAAATGAAAGTAGAAATTCTAGCTACTTCAGGTTTATATATCATCATCCTCACCCTTCATCATATATATGTATTTCATGTACTAAATGACCATCATTTCACACATATTACCTCACATATATCATCATCACCGCTATAGATTAGTGGTGTTTGTTGGGACCTACAACTTGCCGAGCCAAATCTCTACTTCCACATATATGTTGTAACCCTAAGATTCTAAGGAATTAATTAAAAATCAACCTCCTCTCACAATTTTTGAAATTTTGATTTCCGAAATGACCGTGTGTGTGGCGTGTGTAGAAACTTTCTCTCCTCACTTCCGGCCTATTTTCTTATCTTTGGACTGTTGCATTAGTAAGCTGCATGGCGTATATGTTGTTTTGTTGTATATAAACATGGTTTGTGAAAATGCATATAACTATTTCACAGCCTTGTGTAAAGATGTTGTGTGTTGAATGTGGCCTATATGTAGATATTTCTAGATAATTTCAGCATTAATAAGCCCACCTCTCCTCAGTCAAAAATTGATGGTGCACTTGCTTATTCTATTGTTCTGCATCAGTCTTGAAATTTTGTTACTTTTAGCACATATTACCAGTGATAAGTCCATATGTAATTTTACAAATAAAATAATTTCCAATAGTGATGCATTTTTAAGTATTAATGTTAAATCTCATTCTTTTCTTGAAATGCTTTTTCTTTTTTTATCTCCAAAAATACAGATACGCAGCAAATTTGATTTACAGTATGAAGTTTGAAAAATAATACGGATGACAAACTATTGTAATGATAGGAATATTGTATTTTAGATCCAACATGAGTAGAAATTACAAACTTATCACAAGGCAATATTCAGGAATCAGGATATTGTGCTTTTATTGAATACAATCAGTATTGGAATATCAGCAATACCTATATCCCTGCCCTGATAATAAGTATATATAAAGTGTTAGCCAGTCTCAACTTTTCTCCTATATATTGGCTGCATTAGAGGATCCTCATTGTCCTGGAGCATGTCATACTCAAATCAAAACAATTGAAATCATGTTTATTGTAAGGAAAACAAATTCCTATTATATTTATGTTATGCACATTGTACTCTTAACATATATAGAGATAGCATTTATAATGTGTACTTATTCAAGATAGCTTATATAAATGTATTTTGATGTGTATCATAACTAGATGCTTCTGAATTGATGTAGATCTGATGCCTTGTTCCTATTTCCAAACCTGGATTAAGATTTTGTACATACATAACTTTCCTTAAATCATGTATCCAGAAGTATGATTGAACGACATCTTGCTAATACATGTATATATGCTAGTATGCTATTTCTCTCTTTAAAAATATTGAATATCTAAAAAAAACAAATTCCTTCTGCATTGCACCAATAAATTATTTTCCTGTCAAATCTGTTTTCCTTAAGCTGATGTATGTAACTACACTCACAGTTTATCAGTGGAATTAGGTCCTACTTTCATCAAAAGAGCGACAATATTTTGTTATTTTTCAATTGACATCTACTGTCTGTATTGCAGTATTGATGCATAAGTAGTGATGTACATAAACCAGGATTCATTAACATTTTATACATGTAATACTTTCTCAGCATAGACTATAGTACTTGTCTATAAATATTGTATAGTATATTTTGTTTAAGGTATGTGATGCTGTGTTATCCTTCTGATCAATATGCTTTTTAGCTTGATATTTTGTTTATGAATGTTTTCTGTTTTATGAATCAGTTGCCTCTCCGTCATATCCAAAAAAAGTCACCATCACCGGTAATGTGTCTGGATACTTGTGGATTCTTTTATTTTGTTTATCTCTGGAGCAGTTTTGTTCTTTTTGTCTGGTTGCTTCCATGATCCTGCTGATGCTTTAACCTATAGATTGAAGGAACTGTTTGATAAGGATACTGTTGTGATAGTCATGGGAATTTGAAAAAAAATATATATACCTCTTTGAGTCTGATTAACAGCCAATTTCCTTTTAAGAGACCCCCCTCCCCAACACTCTCAATTTGTAATATAAATTGATATCCAAATTTTCATGGGGGAAAAAAAACAGTTAAACATTTTTTGTTTGGACTTTCTGTATTCATTTTCTAGTAAACATTTGAAGATTTCTACCAGAGCTAGGGAATGGTTGGGTTTTTGTCTAGACAGTATGTGAATATGTGACCTCTGCCAAAAATGATGAAACTCAGATGTGGCTATGTGAGTAGGTTCCCTATATGAAAGAAGACAAACTATGGCTTTACATAACAACATAGAACAGCAGTGTTTATAAATTGACTCCCAGTCAAGTCATCATAGAGATGTCTGGCTAGGCTATTGAAAAATCAGTTAGATCTACAGCATTGTTGTAACTAAGGATTCATGGTATCTAACTTCAGGTATGCAATACATTCCCTTCCTGTTACATGCAAAATTTTTTAAGTTCAAACAAAAATTAATCTTTAGGCTTTTTTTGTATAAGATGCTTACCATCTCTATGTATTTGACTTTTTAAATGAAAAAAATATTTGTTTTGTGACAAAGTGGTCTCCCAACAGACTCAATTTTATTTACATTATCTTATGAACAGTTGATGAATTAGGGTATACTTTTTCAAAAAAGGAAGTTGTGTTACTATCTTTGATTTGAGTTTTTTTGGCCCCTTTTCTCATCTCACAATTTTATCGTAATTTATGTGGTGCTACTAAAATGAAATTCCAACAGATTGTAACTTTTTCACATTTAATTAAACATATAATAAATAATGTTTTCAGGAAACACACTGTTAGAATATCCAGGCTCAGATTTATCTAAAGTCTCATTGTTCTTTGGTAAGCTCCTTTGTCCTATAGTAGGCATGCTTATTCTGCTGTCAGATTGGCCACATACTCTGATAGAGGTCTAATGTAAAGCTTAAATCTTAGACAGATGTATAAAATGTCCCTAATGTGAGATGTCACTTTTGTAACTTGAGACCTAGAGGATGCTACTGTTATATACATCATCCTAGATAGGTGTATAAAACCGAGCACCTGTTATCCACTACAGTGGAAACCAATCAAACCACCAACAGTATCCTTACTTCTGCATGTAATCCTTTGATATGATTGGTTGCTTTTAATGTTATATGGTTAGTGAAGTTGGCAGAGCCGACCTTTTTGCCTCTGGACAGACTTGCTAGCTATTTGTTTCAGTGCTTTTGATTGTGGAATGGTTTTATACCAGTGCAGCTAGTGCAAGGGTACCAATAAACTGTAAGACATAGAGTACAATATCTTCTTTAATATACAATATGTACATATCTGGTATGTTGTTGTCAATGTAATTCTATAGTACAATTGTACACACACTGAACCCTCCTCCATTTACTCAGCTGTAATTAGGCCTTTTTGAACCTTTTCTTCGTCCCTTGAAATTCTTTCTGCTGATAATGTGAAGATGGTGAGAATTCATTAAATCTAGAATGGAATTTGTTCTTCTGCTAATATAGTTACTGTGAAGACTATTTCATTACGATATTACAAGCCTTTATTGCAAGTAAGTGTTACAGGTGCTTGTAATGATGGTGCGAAATCTGGTCAAACCTCACAACCTATTTCAAATTTCCTGAACTGTATATATAAGACTCCCTCTATATAAGGTAATTTTTGCTAAATTTGTTTCCCAATTGTTGTAAAATCTGTAAAGTTTATATTTTCATAAAGTAGTTCCAGATAAATCAGTCAAACACAGATAACTTCTTTTGTACTTCACACACTTTTAAAATGAAGGAGTAAAATTTCAATTATTTCATTAAGAATTTCCTATTAAATCACTTTGGTATAACTCATGTTGTGCATACCTCATTTGCAATTAGTAACTGTTAACATCTATCAGATTTGTATTTTAGGCAGTAAGCTGATTTTATACATAAAATGAACATTACATCTGGCCAGGATGTCCTGATTACTTATATAAACCTGTCTCTAACCCTTAATCTCATCTCTAGATAAACAACATTTAAATATAGTACTTGGGTGTTAAATCTCTACTTTATGTGAATTAGGACTGGTTAGCATACTTCAGGTATTTACAAGTAAAATCCATTAGGTGGTTACTTATGAAGATAGTATAAAGTCAAGGTCTGTTGATATAAAACTGATATCTATCTTACCAAATCAAGAAATCAGATATTTATAACAGTTTGAAGATTAAGTTTATTTTTATCTTTTTCTCTTTTTTTTTTTTTTTTTCAATTTGTAAAGCCGGTAAGACTTTCAAATGTTAGTTTTAGGTTTTGCTCCAAGGGGGATAGAATTTAACCAAGACAGTATATTTTAGCTGACTTATACACCACTCACTAAAGAACCAATATTATGTACACAATCATCTCCCCACTGACCTGTAAACATTAAGTTTACATATCCAATCACAAGGAAAACTTATTCAAATTTATTTGTGAACTTGTTGAAAGAACTTGGCCATGTGGAGTAATGGTTTAGAATGCTAGCCGTATACACAGTCAGATACAACAGTGTTACAGATATCTGATCAGAGATCAGGATTTATCTTTTCGTTATAGCTCACTGCTTTCAGTTCTTCATTCAGAACATGCATTGGGAACTGGATCTTGGGGAAACTCTAGAAGAGTATGTTTACAAACATACAACAGTGTTCAAGGGTGTTGTAATTTAATATTATTTTATTATTTTAAAATTTTGTTAAAAGGAAACTTGTGAAAGTCCTGTTCAAATTATGGCGGAGTTCTTCTTTAATCATGATATAAGATAAAAAAAAAATTAATGATATATATTATTGCTTAGTATGTAGTTACTCATCATTGATAATCAACATGACTGCAGTACGTTTTATATTTTTTTGCAATTGAAATTTCTCTAAGTGAATTTTTAAAAATCAATTTTGGATTACAGCATAGGAATATGGAGAAATTAAAATGAAAATGGATTTTGTGTACAGTGCAGATAAATGTTATAGTGAAAATAATTGTTAACTCAAATAGGTTTTACATGTTTTAAACCAAATAACTAAAGATATACAAGAAAACCTGTTTTGTATCAACACATATAACCGTTCCTTAAATAACATTATACAAAGGCACAACCTGTTGTATTTATGTTAGGAATGTACAAAGGTAGGGTTTATATCATATTTAATATTCCCTATAACCAAGGTATGTAGATAATGTGAGCTGCTACTCTCATGGAACACCTGGCTTGGGTGTGGTGCTAGATTGATATAAGTACCCCGTGGATATTTACTGTAATGTACAATTGTATCACTGTCGCCAAAACAGAAAGTTTTTATAAATTTGCAAAAGTACAAATTTCATTGATTTTAAATCGAAGTTTTTTCACCTTTTTCCTATTTTGAAATACATAATATGTACTTTCAAATCTGGCATCCCCTACGATCACCCCCCAGCATCCCCTCCGCCCCCCACACCCCCCCAACCCTCCCACCCCCAACCCCAACCCCCTCTTCTCCAAAAAACAAACAAAAACAACACACATATGTATATTCACGGTTTTGTGAAATATCTGAAGTCCTTGGTCATCTGTTCGGTGGGCTTTTCTGAATATAACTACTATAGGAACATAAAACATTTAAACGTTTAAAATACTTTTTTGTATGTCTTAGATTATACAAATTATGTATATAAGCTTTTAAGTGTTTTGAGTTGGTTTTTCATATTGTCTATGGTAATGTATACTTGTATTGTGTTTACATAGAGAAATGAACAAAGACACATAGTCCATAACACTATATCAGTGTACATTTACATACCTGTGTGAAAGGAAATACACAGATAGAAGTAAAATGTTAGGAATGTTTGTGGCATGTCTTTACATCACAGACTTACAGGTCTCTTTCGCCTAGAGTAATGATAGCAATCCCAGCTTTTATTATTTAAAGGTTGGTCGTTTTTGGATACAGGTGTTTTAGTCTCTTAGATCTGCCTCTTTCTCTGGGCCATCCAGAATCTGCTATTTCTATTCATGCCAGCATATTGTTATATCATATTGAGATCGTAAAAAACAAAAGAATCTTTTTGTCTTAAAGTACAAGACAGTCAGTAAAAGATGCACATTACAACATCAATGTGGATAAGCTGTTATGTTTTCCGTCACCTAACAACAAAAGATTAGTCATAAGACTAAACTGTCTGACATCCATCCATCCATTTCCACCCATGAGATAGCAGACTTGTATAACGATTTTTAGTTTGTGGTAAGAGCTGGGTGTAAATTGAAAAAACAAAAGAGGTTTTTTTCTAATAAGTAGTTTAAAAGATGGGTGATATTATAAAATATTTGATATTTTTTCCAAAGCACTTAGATCTATATGATATTATGCAGAGTGTTACAACTCTGTTCTATCCCCCCCACCTCACACCACCATAACAATAACAATATCATGAGGATGTAATCCAGCTTCCATAATACATCTATCACATTTCATAGTCTAGATCTGGAGACAGTGTGATAGAGTTGTGTTCTGAATCATCTCTGAACAGAGTTGGTGCTGACAACATAAAGATAAAATCAATGGAGGATGATCGGAGAGTGATTCACAAGCGCAATGTCATGTAAAGAGATGTGCTTACAGTTAATACTCAGAAACAGCACTTTGTGTGAATCATACAGCTTTGTGCATTATTGAAATTTTCATTCTTAAATGCTGAGCTTTTGTGTATAATTCACAGCAGGAACATAGAGATTGAAAAATAACTGTCAGTCTTATATTACGATGAATTACTGCAATTTTCATAACACAGGACTTTTTTTTTATAAACTGAATGTACAGAGTAATTTATATATCAAGACTATCAATATTTGTATTAGATATAAGGGTATTGATTTGACTTGTAACTGGAAATTTTAGAAAAATAGTGACCATTCTTTAATTTCTCTGTACTTTTCCTTACTAGATATTTTGTCTTTACTAAAATCCAATTTTCAAAATGATGAACCATGTTTGTTTTCCAGCATTCTTCTTTGATGTTATTATTGCTATAGCAGATATAATAGCGATATAAGAAAAATTTGTACGGAAATGTTATGTATCATTGTTGTATTTCCCTACAACATGTGGTTTGCATGTCGCTCGTGTTTTGGCCTGTTGCTTTGTCCATGCTTCACTTGATAATCCTCACCCTCTTGTAATCTCTCACTTTTATATATATGTATAGATGAAAGTATTATTTAAAGTGGAATTGTTAAGTATAACTACAGAACTCTTACCTATATACAGGAATCTATAACTGTGTATATATTTCATATGTTTACAAAGTCTTGTTGACCTTTGAAAATAAAACAAAAAATGAGATCCAATGTCACTTTCCGACATTTACTTTGAAAATAAAGAATTATGGAAAGATTCCAACTCTGGCCAAGATCAATCCACAGGTATTTAGGATTTAGAAAGAGCATTTGAAGACATCAGAGACATAAATATGATATTTAGATTGAGTAAGAAATGAATATCCCTTTGAAAATTTGTGGCAGAATTAGCCTACAAAATCTGTACAATAATTTAATTCTTATTTACAAATCATGTAATTTGAATAGGTAAACAATTCCACTTTAAAAACGATGTTATCCTACAACAACACTTTTAGTGCAATAACTGATACATTTATATATATATTTGATATTATACAAACTGATGAATAATTTAATTGCAGTTTGCATGTTAAATAAAAAGTGTGTTTCATGTCTAATCTTGTAATTGTTTTTGAGGAAATTTAAGTAGAATGATAGTCAATGATACTAGTTTTCCTTCACAGATGTAAGATGATGATTTTCTTTACATTTTAACATTCAAGTGCCATAAGTAATACCAGTTAATTCCATGTAGACATATCAAGCTTAAGTCATTAAATCCTGAAGATAATTTGCTGCATTTTAATTGCTGTTATTTTAACTTTTTTCACTTTTTAAAAATATTTTTTAATTGATTTTTTTTTTCAGCATGAGTTATGCATGAAGAAGTTTAATGTGAAAATATTTTATTCTCTAGATAAATGTACATGGTGTATACAAAATCAGTTTAATTGTAAAATATATGTAAAATTTTTACTACAGTTCATTGTTCTGTTGATATTTTCAATGAATATTTGTTTACCAAGTTCACCAGATTCAGATTTAAAGTATATTGTTAAATAAAAAAGTACACTTTAAATGTTAATTATAATATAAGGTGTAAAGTTAATTAAAAACTTAATCAGGGATAGATTCTATGGTATATCATTTATGGTAATCTTTCAATAAAGATCACAATCTCCTTGTCTTCAGTTTCTATCTGTCTAATAGATCTAAACTAAAGTCCAAATACTAAAGATCTTTACAGATTGTGTGGAGTAATGCTGTTCTTAACTCCTTCATTTCACAAACTGATGTTTTGATTATGTGGTTTCTTGTAACAACACTTATTTTGGTGGTAGAGGTGGCAGTAAAAGATCAGGACCTAGAATATATATACCGATATGATGAAAAATAAAAAATAAAAAATGGCAACATTATTTCAGGGAAGATATAAAGTTATCTAAAAGTTAAGATTGCTAATATTAGCAACTCTTTAAAAATGGTTTTATTTCAAATACGATCAAGCTATGACAAATTTCTGAGCATAAAACTTTGTCACTTAGACGTTGTAGTTTTGGTCTTCTTTTAGGAATAGAAATAAAACATTGCATTAAATCTTAGGTATGAACGAGATTATAGCTGATAGTATGTATACCAAGTAGATTAGTTACTGTAGCTTATATATAGTTCTTTGACTCTACATAATTGGTTTTTCTTAAAAAATAACTTTGCATCTGTTAGATATTGTTAACTTTTGCACTTCAGGGAACACCTCATAGTTTCTTAGTCACAACTTAATCAAGCATGCATGAATGTAATTAAAACTATTCAAAAATCCTTGAAAATTGATTCAAAGTATGTCTATAAAATGAAAGTCAGGGTAGGGAGTAGGGCATGACCTTGTTGTGTTCATAACACAATAGTTGTAAGTTTATAGCAACTAGCTTAAATTAACCAACAGAAAGAAAAATCAGCTCTTGAAAAAAACCTCCAAAATTATGGTGTGATTTGATAGACTTCCCTTCATATAACTAGTTAAATGTATGACAATATTTCAGCAAAATATCAAATTAGGTTATACATAGATAATAATGAATAGATTGATGTTTGAATTATTAAGAGGGAGTTTTGATGGTAATTGGACATACAATATAGGTAGCATTTTCTACCTCCATTGATCAAGGGGAGATAACAATTAAATGTTGACATGATATATGATGACTATATTGAAATAATCAAGAGACAGTAACTATTTTTAACTTACCAGGTAGTCTTTTTACATCCATTAAAATGATCACCAGGAGGAATTTTATTATGACTGCATTTCCATTTCTGTTAAAATAATAAAGAAACAGCAATTATCTTACTATAAGTGGGAGATAATAATGTTGTTATCTGATTCTGCTGTAGAGTTACATACATGTATAAAGTAGTAATGTTGTATATACCTGATCTCTACTTTCTGTACTAATGCACTAAAGTGATGAAGACATGGTAATTAAGATGTTTAAAATGATAGAAGGGAGGTAATAAAATCATTTTTATCTGATCTGTAATTTCTATTAAAATGATCTAAGGGAGATAATAATGTTTTTCACCTGCCCTCTGCCACCTACATTAATGCCACTGCTACTAATGATTGGTGTCTGATGGGAAGTCTCTGGTATTAACACAGGCCAAAACCAGCCAGCGACCCAGCACTCTTAACCTTTCTGCCACCACCACAGCCCTACAGGTGAGTGATGGGTCAAGGTCAGATTGATGTCTTTTTGGATCACCTCAGTATACTTTAGCATATATGCATGGTACCTAATTGTATGTCTGCTGTCCATGTATATAGTATATATTTGTCGTAGATTGTTGAATTGGATGGTAGTAATTTAATCATCAAAATGTTTCCTTATGTTTCTGTTTTAAACAATGTATTTCTGTGAGATTTTTGGGATTTATCACATAGAAGTTGTGTTACGGTACTGTAGTGGTTTCAGTTTAGTAGTTTAACAGTATAGTGTAGCTTTTATTATTTCACTATATTGGAAACAGTAACATTACTGAACTATTGAATGGGACTTTTGAATTGAAAATAGCCTTTCTAATCTGTTGTAGAAGTGTTTATATGTATATCAATGCATGTACCAGGAATTTTCCTGTTTTAAAAATAAACTTCAAAAGACAGAACCCCCCCCCCCCTAAAATTCTAGGTTTCTTAGTAAATGACTGAAGGAAAATCAAATGATAATTCATATGTAAGTATTTCTGAAGTTTGTTTTTTTCCAATGTTAAGCTGAACTTGTTGGAAGCTTGTTACTTTACCTGTAGGTTTCCTTGTTGTAGACCTTGTTCTCATTTGAGAACCTGACATTACTACTTTGATTGATCAAGGTTTACATAGCAGGTGTCTCAATGAACAGAAGATGCCTACTCTTCTAGAACACCTGGTTTTTATTTTCCTTGTATTATCTCAGGCATCTCCATGTAAATCTTTCTTTGGTTAATATTTTGCCCTTGTTTTATGTATGGAATTTGAGTTTGAATTATGATCATGTCCTCATGTTGGTATTTTCGTATTGTTTTTCTGCATCTGTTAATTTCAGAATAAACCTACTTGGAGTCCCTACCAAATTTTATCTTTTTTTTTAGTAATAATCCCATCATCTTTGAGATAACCATGAAATTTAATTGTACTTATACATGGACATCCATATGAAAATAAAGCAAAATTGGTAAATCATTTATATTGTGAAGTTGAGATCTCCTTTCCCATTTGATTAACCATGCTAATATCTTCTTCCTTTTGTTGTCAGTGTCCTTGTAATGTCAATATTTCACAACTTGTGATGGTTATACTAAGCACACCTTAAAACCCAAACCTTTACAATATGATGTTACAAAATCACAAAGTTGCCTATCCATGGTCAGCACTTGTAATAATGGGTCCAGACCAAGATATTGACAAACATTGACATCTGTTTTCTGAAAATAGATAACCTGGTACTACAAAATAAAGTTTGTCATTTTCACAGTCATACTCTTAAAGGTTTCCTTTTATCTTGTATCAAAGAGGTCACAGGTATATTATGATCCATGACAATTTCAAAATCAGTCCAATTCTTATCTCTTAAGTAGAGATCTGAACTGTTGGATTTAAAGATTTAACTAACCCGTCAAAAAGCTGGATTTAATGTGATCAGTGAAATTTCTGTAATCAAGTACATATACAGTCAAAACAAATATTGAAACTATTGTCATACCCTGGGAACTGTTATACAATGTATTTTGTTTTGAAAAGTAGATTCAGTGGGAAAATGAATGTCAAAATATGGTGCCTGTACTTGTACTAAAGTCCAAATTTCAATACTTTTCCAACTGTAAGTTTAGGAACTGTCACCTCTGTGGGAAGTAGACAGACATTTGTCAATCTTAGATTAAGATTTTACAGTTAAGCATGATGTTTTCTTTTTAAAAAGTGGTAAACTGGTCTCCTTGGATGAGATTAATCCATTCAAATCAGAACTAAGTTAGTGATTATCCTAGTTTTTACATGAATATGTATGCATTTTTACTGTGGTTGTGTAAAGCTGAAACAGTGGTCATGCCAAACTGAATTGGTTTCCATTAGTGGTCATAAATGAGACTTCTTTTCGTGGAGAAACTTTCAAGGCTGTTTAGCTTTCAACCATTTGGTGTTTTTGTCAATAAGGAGAAAATGATTAAATATTTTCTAAGTTTTAAGTTAAAGATGTAGTATATGTAGTAATGTGTTGATGATGAAATCAACACTGGTGGAACACAATCATTTTGATTGAAGGACAAAAATAGCCCTTGGCAAATGTTTCCCCATATAGTGTGCCTTCTAAACAAAGGTTTTACAAGATCTGATTTGACCTCTTAATGACTGTCTTGTGAGACATGATTTGACTTCTGAACTGCTGTCACAGCTGTCATGCAATACTGAATTTGACCTCTAATAGATTATTGTGCAAAACATAATTTGACATCCGAACAGTGGTCAAACAATACTTGATTTACTCTCCCATCATGGGTAATCTGACACTTTATTGACCTCAAACATTGTTAATATAATAACATAATTATAACTCTTTATGTGATCACCTCATCTTTGACCATGCTAGTCTGAAAGTGACTTAATAGTTGCGTTTATAGACTTTGATTTCGTCTACAAACTGACATTACCAATTTGTCATGCTGAATTTAGTTGACACATATCACTATTATAAGAGAGAAATGAAACAGGAGGCTTTATCATTCAAAAAGCTTTAAGTGCATCCATATTGTAAATTTTGATCAATGGTCAAAATCTGTTCATTGTCCATGAGAGGAATGCAATCATTTATTGTTTAATGTAATGTGTTATGTATTGGAATATTAATGTGTATTTAGATACTGACTGGTGTACTTTTACCACGAGTGACATGATTCAGGTCTAATAAGAATGTAGAACTAATTAATTTAACAATGCCTGTTTTGATCTAATCAATTGTAATAACCACCATGGTTTTAATTTGTCTGTTCAAGCCTGTAATTGAATTAGAATTTGAATTATTCTAGTATGAATTTTTGTATTGTGATCAATAAAAAAAGAAAAAAATTTTAAAATGCGGATGCATGATTTGGAGTTAAATGTAAACAGACAATAAATGTAATAGAAAAATCTTGTGAGAGTTGATATTACCCTGTGGCATTTGTCCATATATTTGAGAATGCAAGAGCATTTTGTGCTTCAGGCTTCCCATTCACAATATATCATGCTATATTATGAATGTTTGCTATAACCACAGAAAGCTTTAAAGGAAAAAGAAGAACATATAGAACAGCTTCTTAGGGAACGAGATCTAGAGAGGGCAGAAGTTGCTCGTGCTGCAGCCCATGTAGATGAGGTGAGTTATCTCCCCTGGTCTCATTTTATGTTCCAGAAGATAACAATAAACTAAGAAAGGGCATGTAATGGTGATTTAAAGAAATCACTACTTCCTTGTTAATTATTCTAATTTTAATTTTCTCAAACCTAAGTAAATAATTTGTCATATGTAACTTCTTACAGTTCCTGTACAAGTTACAAGGACTTAAAAAATATGAAAATAACTGTAAGAAATAATTGAAAGAAATGTTTCATCATTCTTGTCTCTGGCAAGATCCAGTGATAGCATGGCTTTCCTGCTCACAACTTTGTCTGAAGGCACAGTATGTATGGTAACAGATAATATGGTTATGGGGGGAAAGTTAAGACAAATGAACCCACACAACAGTTATTTGATTTCATGTGATGCATTGATGGGTCAGAGTGAGAAGTCCTGGCTAATCAAAGGTTTAAAATGAAACCAGACATCAGTATAGGTGTTAACACTGTCACAAGTCTATGTGTCTCATTTCTGCCAATAGCAGTACATGTATATGCGAAACAAGCTTCTCCACTAATCTACATTGATGATAATAAATCTGCATAAAGAAATAGATGTACTGTGCCTTTTGTATATAGGTATCGGCTGAAAAAAAGACAGACACATAATGTACTTATAAGTGTATTGAAGACGGAAATTGAATAAGGTTCTGAACAGAGAGATCAACATAATAAGTGGAATTGAAAACATTAAAAATGTGGATCTCTCCAAAAGACATGGATCACAATTACTGTTGTATCAGCTGCCATGTACCCTTCATAATATATACTGTAATGTACTTTTTGTCCAGGCTGAGGGAGAACTAACATCTATGCGTGTCCAGAATGAGCGTCTTCGCGAGGACACAGATGATGCTGTGATTAAGTTAAAGACAACGATACAACAACTGGAGAAGGAGAAGGCAGACCTGCTTTGTAAATTAGAGGATGAAAAAAGGTACTTGAAGAAGAATTGAATTTTTATACAAAGTTAAAAAAAAATACTGAATTTCTGGCTGATATGATCAGTAGTTCAATATGATGAAAGACAGAGCTTGCACAAATGGATTGCAAATTATGTCAGGTTGGTTGAAATAAGGAAAAGATATTTATTTGTAAAACAATGTTCACCAGGAAACCCAGAGAAGCAGTTAGTGTATATGTTCGTCATACTAAAAAGTTTGAACGTGGATGCATCCTCTCTCAGTATAATACTTGAGAGTTCTTGAGACAAACAGCCTTTAAAAGAAAATGCCTTATATTACAGGAAAGTAGAAGATCTTCAGTTCCAGATAGAAGAGGAAGCTATCACCAAAGATGACCTAGAGGTATAAACATGTATATTTATAGATGACCTAGAGGTATAAACATGTATATTTATAGATGACCTAGAGGTATAAACATGTATATTTATAAACATAAACATGTATATTTATAAATTTATATTTATAGATGACCTAGAGGTATAAACATGTATATTTATAGATGTAGGTAAACATGTATATTTATAGTATATTTATATATGACCTAGAGGTATAAACATGTATATTTATAGATGACCTAGAGGTATAAACATGTATATTTATAGATGACCTAGAGGTATAAACATGTATATTTATAGATGACCTAGAGGTATAAACATGTATATTTATAGATGACCTAGAGGTATAAACATGTATATTTATAGATGACCTAGAGGTATAAACATGTATATTTATAGATGACCTAGAGGTATAAATATGTATATTTACTTATAAGTTTACGGTATGATCAAAATCAAAATTACATCATATTCCCTTTGGAAAGTTTCAGCTAATCTGAACAAGGTCACATGTCACCAGTAAGTGTAATGCTGAACTTCATTCCATACTAGTTTTGCCTCTGGTCGAGGCTTCATCAAGACAATTTTACATCAGTATCATACCCCTCAGTGTTTTTTGCGGGGTTAAATTTCTATTGTGACTTATTCTAAATGGACAATGTAGTAAGGACAGCTAAGCACTTTTATGTAAATAGCGTTAATCTCCCTGCATACTTTATGGGTATCTAAGTTCGAGAGCGGTACCCTATTGAAGAACACGCCTACCTGGTAACTGATGTAGGCTCTAGTCCAGTTTGATATTCCCTGTAAGATTTAATGATGATGAATACTTCTGACATTTGACATTCCATCATTTTGTCTGTCCTTGCTGTAATTTGTAAGAAACATCCTGATTCAGATCGAAGTGTGCAACAAAATGCTTTGAGTAAGTTCTGGTGTATGCCTTTGACTTACCATACAGTAAAACGTTCCTATCATCATTGAAGTAAGCATTACAATAGCAGGTTTAGATGATAACAGTAGAATAGTGCATCTGGCCATACATGGGTTTTCTACAGGTTCCTGTCTAAAATTTTCAGCCTAATTTTAGTCAGGAGCGTACCAACTATATGCCTGTCATAGATATTTGGAGTCTTGTTGAAGGTTAGGGCCATAGCTACAAAATGGTTACAATTCGGTCAGTTAGTGAGAATGTTTTACGTGGGAGATGTCTACAGGTTTCTAACTTTTCAACTAGTTTTCCTAAAATTCCACACATTCTCTCCACAGACCAATTGAATACCAAGATCATACAGTCAAGTTCATAGCTACAGAGTCATTACAGGATAAGAGAAATTGTCTTCTTTTTATTCTTTACTTAAAGATTAACTGTATAACCTACAATTTCACTTAATTTTCTTGACTTTACCTATAAGAACTTGATTTGAAAAGGTCAAAATCTCAGATTTAATTCCTGAGGATGGGTTTTTTTTATTTCTTGACAGCATAGCTCTATTAGTTTTCATGTTACCATATAAGGCCCGTGAAATCTGACATCCAGATTCATTGTATTTGTTGTACCATCTCCATATGATCTAGCATTATTTTGTTTTTATGATACTGTGATACACAATTTTATTTTCTAATATGCCTACTCTAGATGCTTTTTAAGGACAGTTCATCTTTACTATCGAAATTTTATCATACACATACATCTATTCATATGAATTATCAAACCTGTCAGCTTATAGAATAAAACCCTGCTGTTAAAAAGTAGTTAGACACAAGCAAAAAGCATAACCAACGAAGTCACAATTCACAACCAATTTTACATAACGTTTAATAACATTTCAATAAAAAGTTAACTTCAAACTTCAATGTGAAATGTGCACTTACATTAAAACATTAAAATAATAACATTGAAGTGACTTTAAAAGAACACGTTATGAACTATTGGCTGTGTAGCAAATCATTAAATGTAAATTTCTAACTTCCTCAGTCAAAAACAGAAGAAGAAGAGGCTAAATTAAAGGATCTAGAGAAATCTCTGCGACGGGAAAAGGAAAGGGCAGACAAGTTTGAGCAGGACCTGTTTGGTTTGAAGGTTCTTACTTCTATCACTGGCACTGAATCATTTTCTTTATACTACTGCTGTAGATTAAAGTAAAATTTGTATAGCCAAGTTTATGCCATAATTGGAAAATCATAGATGTATGAATTGTGTTGTTTTATTGTTAATTGTCTGAGATGCAGTTTCAGAAAAAGAAACAAATCAGAGTGATTTTTTCCATGGCTTTTTCATGACTTATTAGGAAACGGTATTTCTAATGTTTTTGTATATATGTTATTTTGATGATTTGTTTTGCTCAGCAGCAAAAGCATTTCAGTGAAGCAGTCTGATACCTCAGACTCTTGTATCTTTTCTTTTGGCTAAAGTATCCTTTTTCATTCATACTCAGGCCCTACTTAAGGACAAGGCAGAACGACTATCCGAAACTGAGGATCAAAATGTTGTTTTCCTGGATCAGATTGAGGAACTTACTCATAAATTATCTCAGGCAGAGAATAAGGTCAAAGGTTACGAGTCCTCAAGACTTGAGGAAGGGGCAAAGGTATTCTTTATATTTTGTATTTTTCTGTTTTTCGTGTTTACCTTTAGAACACATCTAAGTTATTTTTTCTTTTGAACTGATTCGGAAATCATAACTAGGACTCAACGCCAATGTGTACAAAAGATTGTCCTGTAGTCAGTACAACAGTTGAGTGTACTGATGATAATTAAAATGATTAGATTGTCACATCAAGTTGAACATCCAATACTCAATAGACTATTTTATCTTCTAGAATTTTTAATATACTACACAGATGATAATATTTTTTTCATCTTTTATACGGTCCTATATCTGACCAAATAACAAAAGGAAAAAAGGGAAATGTAAGTGAAATGAAAGTAGGAAATCACTGTCCATCATATGCTTTGAGACCATCGTTAGTACTAAAAGGGACCATTTCATAGAAATTGGGAACATGACAAGTGAATTATGTGTTTTATGATAGTAGATAATATTTGTGGCTTTCTTTATCCTACAGACCAGCCAAGTAAGCATAGAACTTGAAGAGAAGTCCTCAAAGGTAACAGAGCTTGAGGACACACTGTCATCCCGTAACCGTGAAGTGAAAGAGTTGCAGAATAAATTAAGTGAATTGGTGAGTCATAGACATACTGGCCGTTTATATCCTGTTATCTGCTGTATACATGTGTCGCAATGTGTCTGCTTTTATACATAGTCAGAGGTCTATTGTGTGTAAGGTGTGACTATTTACTGCTTTATATAAGTCTGTACCAATAGTAATTTTAATGTCATACACTTATTTGTATATTACAGATATTTTTTTTAATATAAGTTGTTTCGTGTTTTCTATTTTTCAATAATTTGGAAAGATTGGAATGTAGATTCACTATTCAAAGATGATTTAGTTTCACTAAGTATATTTTACATTAGTCGTTCAACCAGTTTAGTCGGTTGATAATTTGCATTATCAAATGTCTCATGAAGTTGGTTCACTTCTTGGTTTGACCCAAGGTCTGATTTTTGACGATGCCAAGGTCTGACTTGGTGTTTGCTTTTGTTTTGATTTAAAATGTCTGCTTGGCATGCCGTGCATACTCATTTGTTTTTAAAGCATACTCTGATAAAAGGTTAGTGGGGGTAGGGGGGTAAGGGGAGGATGTGTGTGTATTTGAAATAAACCAAAAAGGAAGATCTGTTCTTCATTTATTAAAATCAGTTTACTTACGTATATTTCAATCTCTTGATTTGGATGTTTTTATGATATAGTCTTCTCTTATTGAAAGTAATATTGAGAAGAGTAACTTAAGTTGACTTGTTATGTGTATATTTTATGTAAATATATGACAAGTGTTTGAATATTTTCAGATGAACTATAAATATTTCTCACAGGTATCTATGCTAGGAGACCTAGCTAAATCACTTGACCTAGGGTGTTCTTTTAGACACAAATGTGATCACTTGTCTGTCAGGGTGTTTGTAATTAAAAACGAAAATCACACAGAGTTATCTCTCTTTTTGAGATTTTCTGCCTTCTCTTTGCTGCCCTGCATTCCTTTCCAACCTCCTGTATTTGATTGAGTTTTTTACACTGTATTGTTGACTATTGTTCTGCTTTGCTTTGCTACGAAATGTCCATGTTTAGAATCAAAATTGTGACCAGATGTTAAGCATTTATTTTGTTTAGATTCTCAATTTGTAATAGTTAGATTGTGCAGAATTTTGTTTGCTTTTAGCTCCAGACTTGTAAAATGTTGCACACAGTTAAGATGAATTCTGCACGTAATTGTGCTATGAGTGATGTTGCTAATTATTGTAATAATTAAGGTATCCATAAAATAACTGCATGATCAGTAATTTAATTCTGCATCAGTGGTACAATATTGCCTCATTATGAAATTTTATGGTCATTGAATTTTTATTTTTGTTAACCTTATCAAAACATATTATATAAATGCTGTCCTATGAATTAAAATGTTTGTGCAGTTTGATTGAAAAGTGTAAGAATTATTTTTTTAGAAATATGGCTTGTTGTACATACTGTATGTAGGAAAGTGAAATGTAAAATAATCAGAAATATCATTGGAAAATCTGGGAGGATTTCTGATAAACTGCTGAATATTGTCAGGATTTTTTTTTAATTGATGTGATTTCAAATTGATATGAAATCAGCTTAAATTGTTCTAAATTCTCTGAAAAATAAATCATTAAATTAAAAAAAATTTTTTTTTTGAAAATCGATGTTATGTGTAATTATAAATCATACATTAAAGTACAGCATTAATGATTTCTGGGTTTATCTTTCTACAGAAGAAGATGATTTTAAGCTGATTTGTGCATTGGTTTGGTGGATCCACTTTTTTTTTTTTACCATCATTCCTTACCACAACCTTACGTTACTCTTGTGATCTCTGTCAACTCAAAGCTCCTGTTTCATTTAGGACTATTTTTCAAAGAAAATGTTCCTATCAAAATTATACCATAATAAACCTTCACTAGTCAAGTCATAGAAGTTGGAGGTATATTGTATGTTTTATCCTACTTTTGTTATATGGAAAAATAATCAGAAATACATAAGTTAAAGTTTTAGAGGAAAAAATGGCTTTAAGTCTTTGGTGATGAATTACTTTCATTTTTGTGCTAAGATGGAAAAAAATAAGAATTGATAGAATGTATGTTTTCAAGTGACCTGAAAAACATTTGGTACAATTTAACAGATTTGTTTTCCATAAAAAAATGTTTTTTTCAATTTATATTCCTTTATATTGATATTGTCTATGTCGACTGATCATATTGAAACTTTTGAAACAGGATGGTAATTATATTTTGGTGTTTTTTTCCTGTCTCTATAGCGATATGGTCTGTGTCGACTGGAGGCTTTACTTGACTGGGATCATGTTAGCCCCTAAGTGTGTATATACTAATACTTTGTCAGCACAAAGGGAAGGTAAGGGAAAGACCACAACACTTTCCCTGCACGGCACCGCACTCAAAACAGGTCCCCTTTCTGGCTTGGAGTAACTTCCCCTTAATTTTAATTTTGGTGTATGCTGTTATGCTGTTTTTTAGTTAATTATTCAGTTAATTTCTGTAATTTGTGTACAGCCAAACTTCATTACTTAAGTCTTAGATGCTGCTGAGATATATTTTAGTTAATATTTGATATATATGTGGTCTTGTATACCAGAGTTTGTGTTAAGACATGTATATATCAATAGGAGGTTATGAGGTTGCCCATTTATATCACTGAAGTTTGGTTGTATTATAATCTTGCTTTCTTCTGCATATATATTAGCAAAGTTATTATAAATAGTACAGCTTGCAAACATAATTTAAGAAAATGCTGTTCTTGGATCATAATTTATCAAAAAGAGAGTAAATTCTGATATTTGGTACTTTTGGGATGTTTTTGTCTGTCTCTGTAATTTGGTAATGTCAATCATATTTTTAGTTTGAAAGTATTTGAAACGTTAAAATATAACTTGTTTTATCTGGAGAATCAGAATGTAGGTATTAGATATGAGTTGTGTGCTTGGACAAATGTTGACTAGTGGGATTGACTGTGGTATAATGTTGTGATGGCGTAGTATAGTTAGTTATGTAGAGAAGTGGGATTGGGGAAGGGTGTTAGTATATGTGTACAGGACTCAGCTCATTTAACACACTGGACATGACAGAATGAATGAAGAGCTGGAATGAAATTTTAGTTGAGAAATAATTTCAAATTATTTTTAAGAACTTCATTGGAATTTCTAAAAAAAATCAACAAGAATTTGGCTGGTTTGTTCAATACACTCAATGTTATAGTATTTTTGTATGAATGATTATACATATAATAGAAAAATTCCTTGCAAGAAGAGTAGGATCTACATATTTGATATTTTTCTTGTAATACTGTCTGTTGTACTGTGTCCTCTTTCTGTATTTTTCAATCTATTTTCAGCTGCAGTGGCTGTGATTTTTACATGGTCTACTTGATAGTGAATTACCTGTTGTTTCGTTATTTATTTTTTTTATGATTTCGTATTATTAGATTTCCTAATTTATGAGACTTATTCAGGTTCTCTTCACATCTAGAGTATACTTCTGCTTGTTGAAGATGTTGCAGTGTTGACTCTATGAACTGTCATTAATTTGACCTTGGTCCCAATCAGTTACAGTCCTTTTTGTTAAGTTACTGATCTCTGGACAAAAGCAATATTATGAAAATATCAAGAATAATATATTAACCAGAAACAAGCATTTTGTTCAAAACCTGTTTGTAGCCATTCAAAATCTGAAATTAATTAGTACTGATCACACTTATGTAGAAAAATCAATTCTACAGAGAAACTGTAGTGAATAGTTGAGTCATTTTAATGTCTGGTATCAAAATTTTGCTTCAATGTTTGTTTTATTTCACCTTTTTTTCACAATTTCATCTTCATTTAAAAATTTTGTAGAACAAAAAAAAAAAAAAAAACATCAGCAGTAGAAACTTTCTGCTGCCTCCTTTGATACAGGAAGTGAGGTAAATTCTAGATATATTTATGTACACCCTGGCACACACTGTAACTTGACATACAAATTTTGTGAAAAGAAACAGAGTTTGAACAACTGTCACTGTGCAAGAAATAAATGATGGGGCTGGGCAATGAGACTATGTACCATATAGACATGTACGTTGTATACCTATCTATCAGCAATATCTCATTTATGAGAGTAATTTAAGGATTTCTTGGATTTTGATGTATAAAGCTATGCATGATATAAGTCTACAACTGAAATATCTTTGACTGATGAAACACACCTTACATGATGTTTCAGGTGAATTTCCATCAATAATGCAAGGATGCTTTTCCACTTTTAAGATTTCTTATCAGCAAAGAAATATTCTAAATTTTGTGTGAATTTTGATACACTTTTATCATGAAAAATATCTAACTTGATATATAGTCACCAGCTTGTGCGATTTACTTAATTATGCGAACAAATGCCTTGCTGCTGAATATTTACAAAGAGGGTGTTGGTAAGGCCAAGTTAAAAAGAAGTCTTGGGACTTGAGATGTTTGGAATAAAATTTGAAAGAAAAAAATAAAGTTTTCTTTTACATTTAACATGACATGAATAATGCTTGTTCAGTAACCGTTAACATTTTGAGTGTGAAAGATTAAAACTTTTAAAGTCAGCCTCATTATGAAAAAATTTAATATCTATTATCAATTTTTAACTTGGCCTTGTTTTGAGATAAAAGTCCAGAGACCATTAACAGTGCAAATATAGATATCTATGTGATATTTCAGCCACTCATTTCAATTTTAGAAAAACAAATTCAAATACAAAGGCAAGCTGTTACGTTTAATAGGTATAGATATATTGTAAAAAAAATTGGGGAGAAAAGCACAATGATCCAGAATTTAATCCGTAATTGAAAAGATGACATATTTTTTGTAACCTTTTTTCGGATGGACATGGGATGAGCTTTTTTAGAGTCTGCATATATTTTCCAATATTAGAAAATTCCTGCAGTTCAAACACATCAGGGAGATAAAAACGAAGATTCCTACAATTTTGAAATTTGAGGATTTACTCTATCTTTATTGTAAAAGAGGAAGTGTAAGAAGGTTTCTTTGTAAACTTACAAAATCCAGAAATGGTCATAACATTTACAATTTTTTGTGCAATAATGCACTGGAATTTTATATGAAGAAAGTTGGCTGAGATTGCATGGTTAGAGGGATGTAGAATTAACAGAAACAAATGTAAAAATCCTGTCTTTGGAGAATAATTTTAACAAAAGAAAGTTAAAAGAGAAAGAAAACTTAAAAGGAATGAGAAAAAAAGCAAAAGAAATCTTAAAAGGATGTCTGGGAGTGTTATCTTATTAAAGTAAAGCGAAAAAAATGGTGCGTACATATAAAAATATATCCTTTATTCTGCATAATAATGCTTATCTGCTTATCTTCATGTCTTAGTGTATATGAGTACATGGTTCTGGAAAAGGTTACTGAAAGCCAAGAAAAAATACAAAAAATAGGGAAAATTTTGGGAAGTGATATGTCAATGTTTTTCATTGTTACTGTAATTGAAACTTTTGCCCCCCAGAATGAAGAAGCCAAAACCAGCACAATACGCAGACAAAAATTACAGGAAACTATTGACAGTAAGTTCACCAATACTTTTCATCTCTGAGGGTTAAATTTCATTCTCACTGTTTTACTATAGATAGAGAAATACCATCTACTCAGATTTTAATGGTGAAGGAGTAATTTTAGGTTGAAACATCATAAGACTTCTTTACTTTCTACCTGTTGAAAGTACATACATGAGATTGCTCTTCAGGTCAAAGTCTATGATGTTTTCCAGATGTGTCAAGTGCTTCTGACTCTTAATTATTTCTGTTTTGTCATCCGCACATTTAATGTCCATTTCATGTTCTTGTTCACTTGAAGGAATTTTCTTATGATTTTCTACATAATCTGATGCTTTCAAAATATCAAATATGAATAAATTTGTAATGTTATTCATAATTACATTATCAAAATATAGGTATGATTATTCCCTAACTGGTGTTTCTAGAGGATTAGTATTTTTCCTAGTATGTCAAATTATCTGCTTTGTCTTACAGATTTGACAGCACAACTTGCAAATAGTGGTGATGCATCTAACAGTCTTAACACAGAAATACAGAAACTCAAATCACAAATCTCAGGTAAGTAACACAGAAATACAGAAACTCAAATCACAAATCTCAGGTAAGTAACACAGAAATACAGAAACTCAAATCACAAATCTCAGGTAAGTAACACCAAAGTAAAAAAAAACTCAAATTACAAAACTCAGGTATAATACAGAAACTCAAATCACAAATCTCAGGTAAGTAACACAGAAATACAGAAACTCAAATCACAAATCTCAGGTAAGTAACACAGAAATACAGAAACTCAAATCACAAATCTCAGGTAAGTAACACAGAAATACAGAAACTCAAATCACAAATCTCAGGTAAGTAACACAGAAATACAGAAACTCAAATCACAAATCTCAGGTAAGTAACACAGAAGTAAAAAACTCAAATCACAAAACTCAGGTATAACACAGAAATACAGAAACTCAAATCACAAATCTCAGGTAAGTAACACAGAAATACAGAAACTCAAATCACAAATCTCAGGTAAGTAACACAGAAATACAGAAACTCAAATCACAAAACTCAGGTAAGTAACACAGAAATTAAAAAACTCAAATTACAAAACTCAGGTATAATACAGAAACTCAAATCACAAATCTCAGGTAAGTAACACAGAAATACAGAAACTCAAATCACAAATCTCAGGTAAGTAACACAGAAATACAGAAACTCAAATCACAAATCTCAGGTAAGTAACACAGAAATACAGAAACTCAAATCACAAAACTCAGGTAAGTAACACAGAAATTAAAAAACTCATATTACAAAACTCAGGTAAGTAACACAGAAATTAAAAAACTCAAATTACAAAACTCAGGTATAATACAGAAACTCAAATCACAAATCTCAGGTAAGTAACACAGAAATTAAAAAAAAAAAACTCAAATTACAAAACTCAGGTATAATACAGAAACTCAAATCACAAATCTCAGGTAAGTAACACAGAAATACAGAAACTCAAATCACAAATCTCAGGTAAGTAACACAGAAATACAGAAACTCAAATAAAAAAAGAAATTAAAAAACTCATATTACAAAACTCAGGTATAATACAGAAACTCAAATCACAAATCTCAGGTAAGTAACACAGAAATTAAAAAACTCATATTACAAAACTCAGGTATAATACAGAAACTCAAATCACAAATCTCAGGTAAGTAACACAGAAATAAAAAAACTCATATTACAAAACTCAGGTATCATACAGAAACTCATATTACAAAACTCAGGTAAGTAACACAGAAATAAAAAAACTCATATTACAAAACTCAGGTATCATACAGAAACTCATATTACAAAACTCAGGTAAGTAACACAGAAATAAAAAAAAATCAGATTACAAAAGTCAGGTAAGTAATGCAGAAATAAAAAAATTCAGATGACAAAGCTCAGGTAAACAATACACAGAAAATTGAGACCCAACATCCAGCGGAAATTCTACAAATGTTGGTAGTCTTCCAGAGATGGATAACTAGACAACATCTGCCAGAATGTTCAGTAACCAATAAATTCTGCTGAATCTTCTGACAAATGTTGTCTGGTTACATCTACCAGTAAATCTTAAATAAGTAATGCATAATTACAGAATTTAACCTTATCCAGAATTATCTCACTATATGGAAATCTTTTTTTCAAATGTTTACTATGTTGAAACTAGATTTGTTCATTGAAACTGAAATCAGAGTTGTTTGTCACTGTACTAAAATGACCGCTGTTCAACAATATCGAAAATATTGGCAGTTCTATGAATTTTAAGTCAACTGTACTCAAATTTTGTTGATACCTTAGCTTTTTCATCAGCCACATTAAAATAACACCAATTATTAACACTAAACCTACATCTTGTCTAGTTTCTTTGATATGATTATTGTACAAACTGTAATGCATGACTTAATTCTTCTGTTTATTTATGTGCGTAGATTTACAACGACAACTGGACTCCAGCAAGGATAAAGAACAACAACTGACAGATGAGAAGAACCAGCTTGTAAGTACAATGATTACCTTTTTCATTTAACACCTGTATCACCACACACCTGTATCTAATGTAATAGGGCTAGGGTCATCATATATATATACTAAGTAGGGCTACATGTAAACTATAGGCCAGACATCATTCTAATGTCTACAGACATTTTCTATATCAAACAGTAAGACTAGTTTGCACTATTGTCTTCTTTCTGATCCTGTAAAAAGATGTAAAGGACCTTTTTTTGTATTATAAACTCAATTTGTGATTAGATTTTTTCCTGTCTTTGGTATTTCCTATATATATTCAGTAGAAGTTTCCCTCCTTCCCTGCTATTCCTATCATTGTAGGGTGGGTTGCTTTTGTTTGTTGTCCCGATGCTAGCAGAAACAACCTGAGTATACTGAGGCTTTTCACAATAAACTTGAGACAAATATGTGAAATATTATATATACACATTAAAAAAATGAAAGTTTTAATGATCTTATCATTATAACAAGACATGTTCTGAAATTAAATTTTTAAAGAATTATTTAAAATTACATGGAGATTCATAGTCACTTGTAAACTGTTTAATATATTTGTTGATGTCTTTTTAAATCTGTCTTTTAATCCTAATTATGTATGAAATTGTCCAACAGTTTAAGTAATAGACACAACAAATTAAAGAATTTCATTTTTTTGAATAAGTAAAAACAAATATCAGTTTTGAAAAAAAAAAAAAAATTTTTCTACCTGTAACATTTTCCTGCCATTCTATATTTCTATCTCTCCTAATGGTTGTGGTCCTGATGATCATCTGCTCAAGATGAAAAATGAAAATTTCAAAAATTATCATCTTAAGATTTCCAAATGACCAAAAATATCTTCAAAACTCATTTAACATCAACAGTGAACATTTCAAATGCTCCATTCTAGTTTCTGATCGTACCTATAAATGTTTGAAGCAATGAAATTTATTAGAAATAATAAAAAACCAAAAAGATTTTGAAAGAAAGGACTTATTAGACAGGATATTTCAAATTTGTTTGAATTAAAAATACTTTCCTTTTGATGTTGAATAGATAAAAGAAACATTTAGCTTTTTCAGTAAATTGTCTTTATTCTTAATCGAAAACTATAACAAAAACATGAACATACTGATTAGCATGTGAGACAGATCACCTCCTATTTCATCATCGTTAAGATCTTATAGGTTCCTACACATACTTTGCCTGTGGTGTTGTAAGCAGTGTTGTCAATGGTGCATTCTGTGACCATTTATACATACATATGTTCCATTGTATGGCCGTTTGGTTGGTCTGTGGTCATTTTGTACTCATTATTCTTGGAGTCTGCTAGAATGTATGGTCATTTGTTTGAATGGTATTTTTTGTATTGCTTATCTACCTTTCTGTGAAATTCAATTTTTTTTCAAAAAAATCCCCATTTGGGGTTTCATTTTCTAAAAATTTGCCACGATTTTGGAATATTTCATCGTAGAAAATGCATTTCTGTTTCTGTAAATTTAATATGTATTTATATGATATAACGTGTTTCAGCTTTATTTTGTGATTGTGTATAGCTAGATGCTTTTGTTGGTGTTTGATATGTAACTTGTAAAAATGTCTTAAAAGTGGGATAACGTTTCATTACAGAAACAGAAATGTATATTTGCCTGTATTTTTTTCAGCATATTTTGAGTTACATTATTGCAGATATTTTCTACACCAATAATTTGTTATTTTCTTTACGTTGAAATATTTTGCTTCAGTTTAGTTTTGGAGTTTTTGGTTATTTCTTTACCCGCTTTTGTTGAGCTCCTGTGCCCATGAATGGTTGCCTCCCCTTGATCGTATCATCCTTTGCTGTCATTGCTTATAGTGTTTTATATATGACAGGCTAAGTTTATGTTCAATTCATTTTCATTCAAATGACGCTCAGTCAGAACAAGCAAACACTTTTCAATTTCTTGGTAACTTTATTTCTTAAAACATCAATATATTCTTTTGAGAGAAAAAGAAGTTTTGACATAAAATATCATAGTGTTAGCTTTATCAATTAACGTCTTAGGTATAAATTATTATATCAGCTTTGAATGAGAATAAATCTTCATATTAAGATACCGGGTAAAGTTACTTTTTAAGATATCTGAAAATAGTAAAAAGCATCTAAGTGTTAAATAAAAAGGTCAAGAAATTTGGGATGTTTGTCTTACGTTAGATAGACTAAGAAATCGTCATCTAGACTCTTTCATCCCTATACTGTTATTGTAGCTTAGACATTTTTTCAATGTATGAACCGCACTCTTCACTTTCTCAGCAGAAACCAAAGTCTTATTACGACCCTTCCACACGCCATTTTATCAGGTAACCTGTTAAAGAAAATAGACATCTCTCTGTAGCGTCAACTATAGTCAGATTTTTCTTCTTTCTTTTATTATCATTAAAAATTAACCCATCATTTTCACTTAACATCAATCTGGGCACATGATCTCATTCTCATAATTATTAATCCTAATTCTAATATTTTTATGATTCATCATTATGTTTCTGCCCTGATCTTTGCCGTTCAAAGGAACTACAAATGAGCGATATGATGAGAAACTCCGGTGATAGCTCAAAACGTCTTTCTCTGATGAACGATCAACTCACAGAGAGGAATAGGTTAGTCTTGTTTTTGTGCATCACTTTTGTTTGTGTTTGATTGTTTTTGTTTGTGTTTCTTGGTTTTGTTTGCTGTGGCATTATTTGATTATGTTAAACCTATGCAAAAGAACATCTAATATTTGGTTTCAGAACAAAAAAGAGTCTGCTTTCTGACTAATAATTTTTTCATATTCATACATATATCTTTTTTTTTATAATTTAAATTAATCAAGTATTGTCAAGATTAAAAAAATGTTTACTACTTAAAAGTATTATTACAAATGCTTTTGATTCATTTATTTCTAATACCAAATTATATAATAATAATTAAAAACTAAATTAAACAGAGTGTTACCTCCCTTATAAGCTTTCATGATTGTGTTCTTTTCCAAGGGTTGTTTTAGCTATTGGGTTTGTGGTTGATTTATAGCACTCCTCTTCAGAGCTGCCTGTTTTGACTGCATGTTTCCATGTGGTGTTTCATTGTCATTCTTTGTTGTGTACCTTGTCGTTGATTGTCGTGTACATTATGTGTGTTATGTATCTTGGCAATAGCAGTTGTATATAAAACTTCACCAATATAATTTCTGATGAAATTTTCTTTTGAGAAGCTAAAAAATTGGCAATACTTTTTGGTTAAGCTTTACTTTAGCAAAATGCTTGTTTTCTAATTTATTTCTTTATGTTTAATTCAATTGACCAAATTGATTTCTTATTTTGAAGAAGTTGTGGAACATTGTTGAATTGGAATTCAAAACAAGTTCAAGTTCACAAAAATAGTGGTTACAAAAACATTTGTTAAAATTCAAAATACTTTGTATAAGCAGAGTGGTTACAAAAACTGAAAATATACTTTGTTTTGTACCTATGACAATATTGCATTTGCTGCAAAAGATACATTTCAGACACAGCTTTTTGTTATTTCATTTTACAGCTGTTCAATATTAACAGAGAGCTAACATACGTTTGACATTGTGAGATGTAAACTAGAGCCAGTGCATATAACAGCCAGGTCTAACTGTGACTTCCTAACATAACCTCATTCGTACAAAATACTGGGAAGATCAGTTTCGTATAGCACAAGTTTGATAACTTATTTATCAGGGTGCCATAATTCTGGGTCCAGTAATTACTTATCAGGTTGTACAGTTATATCTCATGGTTTTGTTTATGGTTAGGAGTAAAGTTTTAAATATGACAACAGCTAGAATATTTAGAGGAAGAAAGAAATAATAAGAATGCTTTGCAAAATTGCATGTATTTTCAAAATCAAGGTATGGAATTTTGTTAACACTGAATTTTTATGGCACAAATAACCTGTTCATGTAAAAACTAACAAATGATTGTATATGTCTATAATTGGCACAAAATGTATGGAATAAGATACACTTCAGATATGATTATAGACACTTATACCTAATTACGTTATACATTGCACTGCTTATCTTATTACCAGCATTATAACTACTTAAAAAACCTAAACCATGTAACTTTACTCCTGATTAAATGTTGGTGAAGGAATTTTAAAAAAAAATGACATATATATTTAACATAAAGGTGTTGGAAGCACTCTACATTCTTGATAACAGGGAAAAATAAAACTGATCAATTTCAGGTAAAGCTTACTGAAGATCAACGTCTTGGAGATGAAAGGACAATTATATTTTACCATTACTATATTCTTAAGTTATAATATGTGTTGAAATGATGATGCTGATGAAAGCATATTTCTCAGTGTATTTAGGATATTGAAACTGGTGATTATATAAGAAGATATCCAAATTATTATTCATGTATATGTAAATATGAATGTACAAATCATAATAATTTATATATGATATGCTAAAAGTTTGATAGACTTTTCTCAAGCAGATTTAATTATAAGTTGATTTATGTGAAAGTACTTTGCTTTTAATTAACAAATTCAGAATGCTGGATTTAATTATAGATTTATTTAGATGAAGGTACTGTGCATTTGATTACCAAATTAGGAATGTAGGGTCAGTGACCTTTGTCAATCCTGATAACTTGAATTTGAATAAAGTTTTATTTCATATTTATCATAACGCTCCAAACCAAAGTAATAATGAACATGTAAGAAATGGGTTAACAGGTACATGTTGAAGCATTGGATGGTTAGAGTTGTCTTTAAGCTCTCAGTAAGTCAGATAAGGACTTCACCAGCAGCTTCAGCCACTCTTCATCATTATCTAATCAAAGGTCTGTCCTGTTACATGTCAGGACTGTAGAGTATATATGGTTGGTAAAATCTAATACACTTAGGACATCACGGTTGAGGCTTGTATTGATTTTACAGACTGAATCACTGTGTGTACTGTGTAAGACTGGAATCTGCAGGTGACCTCATTCCAGCAAAATTCATGTACAGCAGACTCCTAATTAAAATTAGAAGGCAATGTTCCTGGTCATGTACTAAAGTTATGATGTACTATGACTGTACATTAGTCTGATAAGTACTGGGACCGTCTCTTAAATATATATCCAAGATTCAGATATCTGGATGTTTCTGGTGATTATGTAACATGGTATCATTCCAAGCTTCAGATATCTGGATGTTTCTGGTGATCATGTAACATGGTATCATTAAAGCTTCAGATATCTGGATGCTTCTGGTGATTATGTAACATGGTATCAATCCAAGCTTCAGATATCTGGATGCTTCTGGTGATTATGTAACATGGTATCAATCCAAGCTTCAGATATCTGGATGTTTCTGGTGATTACGTAACATGGTATCATTAAAGCTTCAGATATCTGAATGTTTCTGGTGATTATGTAACATGGTATCATTCCAAGCTTCAGATATCTGGATGTTTCTGGTGATTATGTAACATGGTATCATTAAAGCTTCCGATATCTGGATGCTTCTGGTGATTATGTAACATGGTATCATTCCAAGCTTCAGATATCTGGATGTTTCTGGTGTTTTTGTAACATGGTATCATTAAAGCTTCCGATATCTGGATGTTTCTGGTGATCATGTAACATGGTATCATTCCAGGCTTCAGATATCTGGATGTTTCTGGTGATTATGTAACATGGTATCATTAAAGCTTCAGATATCTGGATGCTTCTGGTGATTATGTAACATGGTATCATTCCAAGCTTCAGATATCTGGATGTTTCTGGTGATTATGTAACATGGTATCATTAAAGCTTCAGATATCTGAATGTTTCTGGTGTTTATGTAACATGGTATCATTCCAAGCTTCAGATATCTGGATGTTTCTGGTGATTATGTAACATGGTATCATTCCAAGCTTCAGATGTCTGGATGTTTCTGGTGATTATGTAACATGGTATCATTCCAAGCTTCAGATGTCTGGATGTTTCTGGTGTTTTTGTAACATGGTATCATTAAAGCTTCCGATATCTGGATGTTTCTCTTGATTATGTAACATGGTATCATTCCAAGCTTCAGATATCTGGATGTTTTTGGTGTTTATGTAACATGGTATCATTCCAAGCTTCAGATATCTGGATGTGTCTGGTGATTATGTAACATGGTATCAATCCAAGCTTCAGATATTTGAATGTTTCTGGTGTTTATGTAACATGGTATCATTAAAGCTTCAGATATCTGGATGTTTCTGGTGTTTTTGTAACATGGTATCATTCCAAGCTTCAGATATCTGAATGTTTCTGGTGTTTATCGAACATGGTGTCATTAAAGCTTCAGATATCTGGATGTTTCTGGTGATTACGTAACATGGTATCATTCCAAGCTTCAGATATCTGGATGTTTCTGGTGTTTTTGTAACATGGTATCATTCCAAGCTTCAGATATCTGGATGTTTGTGGTGATTATGTAACATGGTATCATTCCAAGCTTCAGATATCTGGATGTTTCTGGTGATTACGTAACATGGTATCATTAAAGCTTCAGATATCTGAATGTTTCTGGTGTTTATGTAACATGGTGTCATTAAAGCTTCAGATATCTGGATGTTTCTGGTGTTTTTGTAACATGGTATCATTCCAAGCTTCAGATATCTGGATGTTTCTGGTGATTATGTAACATGGTATCATTCCAAGCTTCAGATATCTGGATGTTTCTGGTGATTACGTAACATGGTATCATTCCAAGCTTCAGATATCTGGATGCTTCTGGTGATTACGTAACATGGTATCATTCCAAGCTTCAGATATCTGGATGTTTCTGGTGATTACGTAACATGGTATCATTCCAAGCTTCAGATATATGATTGTTTCTGGTGATTATGTAACATGGTATCATTCCAAGCTTCAGATATCTGGATGTTTCTGGTGATTATGTAACATGGTATTATGATGTATTCAGGTTGGATATCTGATGTAACAAAGTAAGATGTATATGTTATATTCTGGCTGTTATTATCTTACCGTTTAGGGTCATGTAAGAAATGTGAGAGACATGTCACAGCTATGACGATATTGATACATGACTGTAGTTGTTGGGTTGGGAAAATTATTGGTCATAACTGAATAGTTTCTTGCACTGAAAAAATAAACAAATTATGTCAGGCCAAGAAGTGTGGTTTATCATGATAATCTGCGAAATGTCTAGGATGTGTTAGTGCATTGCTCTCTTTACATTGGTTCTCTTTGTTATTGTTGCAACTTGAATCTATTTGGAATTGACCTGATTCATCTTGTGCTTTTAGAATTGATTGGCTCTTATTCAAAATTAAATCGTGCAGAAAAGTAGAATATATTCAAGGGAAATGTTTTAGTATGGTTGAAAACCGTCTAAGTCCCAAGAGATCCTGCATGTATAGTCATAGTGTACCAGGCTGTCTCTCATCCTTAAAGATAGCGTATAGTTCCAATATAACAGTGCTGTGGTATATCATCCTGTTGTCAGTAATGGATCTTGTCTGACAAGCCTGACTGCTGATTATAGTGTGATAGCTGGCTATGTTACACTTTTAAATAAACTGTGTTCCAGAATTGCCAAAACAGATCAATAACTACAACATAGATATAAATAAAACGTCGGATGAATGTAAGTTTTGTAC